CATTTATCATTCTTGAGTGTCCTATTTTTCTACTTTATCAAAAAACTCCTTCCCTCTCCTATGGGTCACTCTTACCCATAGGAGCACCACTTGTACTCAGCCAGTTCCATAGTCTCTCTCCCTTTAGTTCACCAGTACTGTGATTCTGTGTTCATAGGCACATGCTCACACTTGTGTGTGTGTGTGTGTGTGTGTGCATGTGTGAGCGTGTGTGCACATGATTCACAAGATGTGGGACTGTTCGTATGCAATCTCACCAAAAAGACTGCTGAATCTCAGCTTATTCATCTCTCTTACAGCTCCCAGAATGAATTCTGTTCAGCAGGGTTTAGAGAGTCATACCAAAACAGTACCCAGTACCATAAGTGAAACCAGGCTTAGGCTGAAAGAAAACTTCAACAGAAGTTCAAAGCTAGGCATGGATGCCTGATATATCACAAAGATCAGGGTTTAGCAATTTTTTTTGTAAAGAGCCAGAAAATAAGTATTTGTGGGCCATTTAATCTCTGACATTATTGCTGCTATACAACATGAAAGGAGCCACAGATATATGTTAACAAAAATATGTGGACTGTATTCTAACAAAACTTTTCCAATGAAACTGTTCATGGACACTAAAATTTTAATTTCATCTAATTTTCACATACACCCAAACAGTATTCTTCTTTTGAACTTTTCAATCATTTAAATATGTAAATAACTTTCAGCTTACAGGGTATATAAAACAGACAGTGAGTCAAATTGACCTATGAGCCACAATTTGCTGACCTCTGACCTAGACTATCCTATTACTTATGTAGATATTATTTCCAGTGGGATTTATTTGCATCAAAAACTGGTGTACACAGAACTGAGCTTGCTCAGCCTAAGTTAACAATGTTAAGCGACTGCTCTTTTGGGTACCATAAAAAGAAGTCTGTGTTACTTATCTTTAAGGAGAGGATTTCCCTTCCTCATTAGGCCTCAAAGTCACACAATGACCTTAGACAATTATTAAACTTATAATCCAGGCCTTCAGTGTAGTATATTCACTTTATTTTTTACTCAGCAAATCCTTATTAGAAATAATGCTTACTAGCTGGCATATGATATGTAATTTAGCATAAATTTAAAATATATATATATAAATATATAAATTTTAAATATATATTTTACATTTCCTATATCAGTTTTTTGCAAAGTTTATAATGAGAACCCCTAATTCCAGGTGTTCCATTACATGATGATTTTAAGAAATATTGTCCCCTTCTAGAAACTTCACAAGAAATACCACGTAAGTAGCAACTTTTCCTGAAACTTTATCTTGATAGAGTTTTACTTAAAGTAATACATTGTTCTTGTAGTGCCCTTTCTATTAAAATGAAAGGACTGATAAAAAAAAATTCCCTATTGGGTGGAGGTATAGCTCAATGATAGAGCTCCTGCCTTGTACACATGATACCCTGAATTCAATCCCTAGCACAGCAAGCAAAAATGTCCCTTTTTCAGAAGTTAATCACTATCTTCCTATTCTTACACTATTGGAAGAGCAGAAAGTTTGTTTGGGAATTAGACAAACAGGAACCAAATTGTGACTTTGTCATTTACTAGAACTAGGACTTGCTTTTCTAAGCCCCAGGTTCTTAGTTATAAAACAGCTGATCACACAGGATTGCAGCAAGGATTAAAGAAGATCATGTAAGCAAAGTGCCTGGTGCACAGGAGGTGCTTTGTAAATATTCAGTGATTAAACCTATAGATAGCTATGAAACCAGGAAAGAAGGGAGATCAGAAGGAACTTTAGCTGATCGGCTTTGAGCAGTTGTGTTTGATTTCACTGCCTTGAGTTTCTGTGCTTTTCTTCTCCCCATGTGCTTCCTATAGTTCTACTCGTCTCTCTTCATAATTTTTCTCCACTACCCCCACCCCTGTTTTATTATCCACCCATCCTTTATGCTCCTCTGGTTATTTTTTGTCCTACAAAGAACTCAGGAGGAGGGTTTGGCCCAGTGTAAACTCCTCATTTCCTTCCACATTATGGATTGACTTGTATCTCCCAAAATTTACATGAAGTCTTGATCCTCAGTACCTTTCATTTTGACCTTATTTGAAAATAGAGTCACTGAAGTATTAAGAGTAGGTGGGCTCCCCAATCCAGTACGGCTGATGCTCTTATAAAAAGGGGAAATTTGGATAGAGGCATACAGATTAAGGATGAACACCAGTGGAACATGAAAACAGTCACCTATAAGCTGAGGGGAGAAGCATGGAACAGACCCCTCACTCAGAGCCCTCAGAAGGAACCAACCCTGCCCACACCTTGGTTCCAGAGTCTCAGCCTTCAGAAGTCTGACACAACACATTTCTGTTGTTTAAATCACCTTTGTCATGCAGCCTTCCCCATATGCACTCCCCAAATGAAACAATCTCTGGCTTTACAGACCAGTTTTGGCTTTTTCAGCTCCAAGGAAGCTGTTGTCCAATTTCACTTTGATACAATAAAATAGGCAGAGCTTCTTAATCTTAAGATGCACTATTATTTTTTCCAGCATCACCCAACTAGAGTCTGTCAAAATATTCTTCACAAATCCCTCCAGAGGTCTCTGCAATGTGTGACTCTGTAACCCCACCATAAAGAAAGCAGAGTATCAAGAAATGGTTTCTAAGATTAACAGCATTGTTTCATATCATCCAAGAATCAATAATTCTTGACTAATGTGAAATGTATGTAAGCAGCTACCCACAACCAACTAAAAAAGAAAAATGTGTTTTGCCTACTTTGAATACAGACCCTCTTCAGTATCCTCAGGAGGTTGCTTCCAGAACCCCCATGGATACCAAAATCTGTCCAAGTCCCTTCTATAAGATGCCATACTATTTGTGTAATCTATGCAGTTCCTCCTGTATACTCTAAATCATCTCTAGGTTACTCATAATACCCAAGACAATGTAAATGTTATGTAAATAGTTATGCTGTGCTGTTTACAGAATAATGACAAGAAAAAAGTCTACATGTTCAGTACAGGCACAATTTTTTTTCTGAATAGTTCTGATCCATGGTTAGTTGAATCAGAGGATATGGGACATTTTAGAAAGATGTTCACAAGAATGGAGAGCTGATTATATGTAGAGAACAGAGCCAGAAGCTAATGTTAAATGGGTCCCAGTTCTCTAAATTGATTCTGGCCCCATATCATTCATATTCTGAGAAAACAGAGATCACTTAATAAAAATCTCAGCAACTTTGGATTCTTCCAAAATGTCTGAAAGCCAGCATCCTCTGGGTCTTCTTGCTGATGCTCCTCCAGGCTGTTGTTGAGCTGGTAATAAACACAGTTGGCAGCTTTACATGTGACCTTCACAATTCATTCACTGGGCCAGTATCTAGATATGTCTTCCTCTCCTTTTAAAATCCTATTACTCACCAGGCAAAGATTCTGAAATCTGAATACCTAGACTAAGTCATAGGCTGGGCTACCTGGCACTAAATGCCTCCAAAAGTGTGCCTTGCTTTCTTCTTGTCAGTTTTGTATCCCTTAGCTTCAAGTGAGGAAGCTGGTACTGTGGTACTTATTTTAGATAAGTTTTTACCCTTTCTCAAAGGTTTCAGTTTCTGTATCCACTGATACCCTGTAAGATTTTCTTGGTCATTTTTTTTTAATCTTCAATACTCTTTTAATCTAGTTGTTCACTGAAGACAGTATAACATATTTCTTGTCATCAAGGAATTTATAATCTAGTTAAAGAAATGTTCAGAAATCAATTAGATAAGAATAGGATGAATCAGTGTAGAAAAGCAGTGTAGAAGTTCAGGAAGGAATGAACCAATGACAACAGAAGTTGTATATAAAGAATTCATAGATACATAGGACATGAACTATATTTTAAAGAATCAATAGCATTGCTGGGTGCAATCTAGAAACTTGGGAGGCTAAGGCAGGATGATCACAAATTCTAGGTAATCTTCTCAACAACTTGGCAGGATCCTGTCTCAAAACAAAAAAAAGGACAGGGATTGTAGCTCAAGGGTAAGAGTCTCTGAGTGTATACTCAATACCACCACCACACACAAAAAAAAAAAAAGGAATTTAAAAACCATGCAGGGAAAAAAACAAAAACTAAACCAATGGGAAAGGGAAAAGAAATAAAAATACGAAGGTTCTAGGCCAAGAATACTGCATGAACAATAATATGTAACTTATTTGTGGACCTTTGAAAGGAGACAATGAAAGGATATGACTGAAGTGTGTCATTTGAATTGGGAAGAATTTTGAAATAAGACTGACTTAGGTGAGTCCAGATGATAGTACCTTGGGGAGTTTGATCATTATCTAAGGGACAACATAAAACCATTTGAAATTTGAAGCTAGTAGGGGACATAATAGAAATAAATCACAGAATACAGAATGGTGAAGAGTCAGAACTAGTTTAACTTCTGTCTCGATTACTTCTATATAGTTTGGTTTGGGAAAAGTTGCTTGGCTTTCCTAAGTATGATTTCTTATTTGTAAAATGGGAATAATTATAGCTACTGAGAGAAGTGATAAGTAGATAGAAATGTGTATAAGGCTGTTTGGATGATGATGGTGGTTGGAAGAATGCTGGAATTAGCAACAACAAATCACCACTTCGTAAGGCTCATCTGGCATCACTGTGCAGGGAAACGGGATAGGGGCTGGCCATGGGAAGACCATGGCAAGTTTTTCAGATAATTCAGACTTCTGGTGATGAGGGTAGCCAACAAGAGTCTGTGATGATGCAAAAACAAGGGCAGAGATGTAAAGCAACTTTGAAGAAAGGATTAACATAAGTAGTGAAAGGATGAGTCAAAACTACCTTCACAGTTTCAGGGCTGGGAGACTAGAAGTGGGAAACTAGTAGAAAGAACTAAATTTGTAGGGGAAGGAAAAAAAAAAAAAACATCTGGTTTTGTCACTGTTGAGTTCTGACATTGCGTAGGGAAATGTGATGATCCAAGAGGAGGAAGGTTACCCTAGGAAGTTCCTGATCCATGGAGAGGACTCAGACACCAGGCAGCTGGGAGAGACCGAGAAGCCTCCAGGGAGCCCATATTCTCAATGAAAGCATCATGCTTGTCCACCCCTCTCTGGGGAAAAGGACACACTAGCTGCCAAAAGGGATAGGTGGCAGTGAAAACCAAGCCCAGTCACAAGGAGCCCGTGGCTGTGTGGGAGCTCTACGGCACTTACTCTTTCTTCCGGGCTGACTTCCGCTTCTCTTCATTGACTTCATGGTTGGCATCCCGTAGCTTGACCTCACGATCTGACAGGCTTGCTGGGATAATGTCCAGCTCCAGGTCCTTGTTATCCTACATGCAGAAGGATCACAGAGGTCATCTTGGAGAAACTTTAGAAAACTCTCTCACCCGAGGTCGGGGAGGCAGTAAAGCAGAAAAACAGAAAGATATCATGGAGAGGATGAAAAGATGGGGAATCCTACAAACACCTGCCCACAAGCACTCTTCTTCATGGGTTAATTCTTCTTTTCAAATAAAAAAGATATAAAATGTTCAGTTCAAATGTTTACTATTAATATCCATAGAAACAGACATTATGTATCTAAGTCCCAGAAGCCTTTGTTCCTGATTAAATCTAAACATACATACGGAGTCATAAATTAGTCCAAGATTGGTTCTTCACCAGCAAAATAATGTGAAATAGAAACACATAAAGACAAAAAACATGTTTCATTTGTCAAAGGAAAATAATCAAACTATTTTTTATTTAAACAAGCAATTTCCCTTGGAAATAAAAAGCTAAGTGGTTGAACAATGACTGAACTTTCTAATTACCCATCCCTACTTATTTCAACCATCATTTGATATTTATGCATGATGGAACCCTCTAGAAGAAATTCAGATTAGAGCCTGGGGGAGATGTTAACTGCTTCAACTCATAGTAGTTTGACCATTTCCCTCTCTAGGCTGCTCCACTTCAGAGCATGAGCCTATTTAAAGATTTACGAATTAGAAATCCCAGGATTAAATTGCTAGGCTGTATTTATCTCTTAATTCATAGGGTACTGACCCCTATTATAAAGAATATATTAAAAGTCAGTCTTCCTTTGCTTCATGGCAAATAGTACTATTTTTCAATTGAAATGTCAAACAGCCTTTGTACAAATTGTACCCCTTATTCTTGAAAGAGTGCTATTATACATACTAGGAGCTCTAATCATTTGCTGATTAACATAATTGAGTAAGAGATGATACCAATGAGGCCAAAATAAAGGGGTTAGTCCTCAAGTCAACAGTTAACTCTACATAGAGAAAAACTCTGCTCCATAGCAATGGGTCCTGCTCTTGGCCAGTCAATTTTGCATTATATGGAACACTATCCACAAGGGCTAGAGGTGAATAGATTAGCAAGATTCTTCCCCCTTCACTCAAAAAAACACACAAACAAGTGTCCCAGGGCTCAGCAGCTCAGAGGGACTCTCTGGAAATGCTCTTTACCTCTGTGGTGATGAGAACAGTGGTGTTGAGGGGGAGAATGGGGACGCCCGCATAGGCAACACCCTCTACTCACCTCTGTGTTGACTCCTAGGGCTTTCTCCAGGGAGTACCGGTACTTCCCCATCCTCAAGGAGAAATCTCTGTAGTGCTTGTCTACGGTAGTCACCCATTTCCTTATCTCCGTGGCATGAATGTGGCCCTTTTCCACGAAGCTATCGGCCAACTGAATCAGAAGCTTCACCTTCTCCTTGGTTTGCTGCCCCAAAAGATGGTCTTGTTACTGGATTACATTATTCTTGTATCCTTCACCCCAAGTCCCCTTCTCTCCACAGCAGCCATAGGTTCCTCACAGCCTGATGGCTCTGTCACTCACTAGCTGGGAGAGGTTGAGCAAGCTGCTTAAACTCTCTGTGCCCTTTGGTTCTTGCACTCACACAATGGGAATCATAATAATACCTGCATTGAAGGGTTGCTGCAAGCATTAAATAAGCTGATAATGCAGACTGCTTAGAACAGGGCCTAGAGTATAGCAGGCATTATACTCTGTTAGAGTATAGTAACCATAGCAAGAACCCAGTAAGCCATAAATGCTAGCCATTATTACCGTCAATGTAAAGTAGTGGGCTTTACAGGTCTATAGAGTATGTTATTAGTGCATCTGAGATTCATGTGACTCTTAAAGCATCCTATTAAGTACGTGGAGGAAGGATCTCTTTGAGTTACAGATGGAAAAAACCTGAGGTTTAGTTTTAAAGGCTGGTCAAAATTCATATCCTTAGTAAGCAACAGCACCTGTTTGTCTCTGTTCCTTTGTTCTTGGTTCTCTCCTTTCCCTGTACAGGCCTGAGGTAGGATGTAAAATATCATGTCAGTTGGCACATGCTAAGAGCCAAAGAAATCCAACCTAAGGGTAAATGTTATCCCCTTTACTATAAGGATCTTGTCTTTATTTTCCATTAAAGAGAGGGAGAGAGAAAAAGGGTTAAAGAAGTATCTGTTAGAGGGCTAATGAGGTAAAACTCTGACATGTACTGGGTTAATTTCATTTCTAGTAAGAATTTGTTCAGCGTCTACTCTGTCTATAGCCTTATGCAGACAGCTGTGGGGCCAGGCTTGGGGGGAAAACAAAAGAAGAAAAAAAGATGTTCATTCCCCACCAAACAGACTATAATCACTGGAGGGGACAAGGTTTTCACAAACAATAGTTAAATCTATTACTCAAGGCATCATGTAATTGAATGTCAAAATTAGAAGTAAAAAACCACAAGGATTTTTAATTGGGGAAAAATAAAGGTAGAGTGGCATGGAAAGGTGGCAGAGGTCTCATGGGAAGGTGAGGTTCAAATTAGATAAGATATAGAAATAGAAGGCTTATTAAGATGTAAACATTTGCATGTCTTTTAAGTTTCAATTTTGAAAGACTAAAATCTTCAGGGAAACTTGAAAATTTTAAGGGAAAGAAAGGAGTGTTTAAATTATATTCTTAGAAGACAAAAGTCTTTTGGGTTGGAGGAAAATAGGTCCAAAATTTTGATCATGCTATAATATAGATACTTGAGGGAAACTGAGGCAAGAAGTCACTGGAGTAGCAATAGAAAAGACTATTCACTTTCTAACCCTCCTACTCCCTTCTTTTCAGGCTCATTCACAGTCATTCCTATGGGAGACTGACTCTCCCAAGAAATCCTAGAAGGGCCAGCAGAGTGCTCTGTCTGCCACGTGGCCAGGGACACTGGGGTGCTGGCTCTCCACTGGCTCTTCTAACACACCAAGCCGCTCCTATCTCAAGACAGTGGGCTGGAAGTCAAGGGTGAAAGTGCTTGGGAGTGGAGGAGAGGAGGTAGGTGTGAGGATAGGAGAAACAACCCTCAGTCATATAAGGTGAAGAGTAATTGCAACAGGAATTGATTAAGAAAAGAAATCTGGTATCCTAAGGTCTTCTATAATATATTATTGCATTTAGGTATTTTTTTTTCATGAAAAAAGTGTTTTTTTGTTTGCTATTTACTTAATCAGAGCTTAACATTTGCTGTTATATCAAGAAATCTGTTTTATGTAAAATTCTAAACACACATATTCTCTGCTCTTGGTAAGGTGCTTTCACTCATGAGATGGGGTTTTACAGCCAGTAGGTGGCTGCAGCTCTACCAGGGCAGCTCCATCAGGGGAAACTGCATCCTGAAGCATCAAAACATCAATCAGGAGAGTGGCTTGTGGCCAAGAATATTCCAGATACTCTAGGAGCCTGGGGAGCAAATAGTGAATTAAGCAGTGTGGACAAGCTCTAACCCAGGGCCCAGCTATTGAGGTAGTGGCCCATCTCCACTGTTCTCCAAGACCCTAAACTGCAACCTGGTGAATGACACATGCCCCTCCCTGTGGTGAGGGCTTCTACTCACCTTCCACTCATTGCAATGTCCCTCTTTCATCGCCTTTCCTCCCCAAAAGACACAAGGCCCTTCCCCTTGACCCCATAGTACCACATAAAGGTGCCTGTATTTTAGTATATGTCATGGAGAGTTATTTAGGTCTCCCTCATTAGACCATGAACTCCTAAAAGGTGAGTATTATATCATATTTGTTTATATCAAGTTTCCAGAAAAGAGCAGGCACGCCATAAATGTTGAATGGTGGAACTGGTGAATGAAGGTGCAAAGCTTGGGTGTGGAGGTGAGTAGAGCTAGAACCAGCAAGAGCTGTGGGTCTCCAGTGGGAAGAATTAATTGTCAGCTTTGGCCTACTGAGACACCATTGTGGCCATGACCTCATAGAGTAGAGTCTGAAGTGATGGCAATGGTGACTGCAGTAGCACCACATGACCTGCCACATTCTTGTGTATAGCTGGTAAGAGGCAAAAACTTATCCCATGAAGGCGGCCCATCAGTATGAGGCCAGTAATTTCTGAGGTGTCCTAGCCTGAAAGTTTTGTCTAAATAAAAAAAGTAGTGAATGCTGGACCAATTTGAGGTTATCTTTCTGGGGATTTGAATTGCAGAGACAGGATTTGGGTGGCCAGTTGCAGGAGTAGAAATGCAGAAGGGAGATGGGGGAGGAAAAGGGAAGCTGAATCCTCATAATGGTGGACACTGCAGAAATCCCTGATCCTCTGCTCCGGGGAGAAGACCAGACAATGTGGCTGCTCAAGTTGGTCTTGGTCTGAGGTGACATCCTAGTTGTCATCCCCAGAGGTGAGACAATGGCGCATTTCTTGTTCTTCCAATGGGGCTGTGATTCAGCTTCTTCTGAGGTCCTGGGAGGTCCAGCCACATAATTTCTTCTTTCTTCCTACACACAACCATACACTATCTTCCCCCCATAACAAGCAAATTTGAAACTCAAATCTTTCCACCAAAGATAGTAACTTTTATATGGATTGGTGAGGTGGAGGTTGAACTGTAGCAGTTGTTAAAGAATAGGTTCAGAATTATGGACAAGATCTGTGGACAAATGGGAGACTTTGGGAACTATAATTCATCTGACCAGGAAATCCAGAACTGATCCCTAATGTATGTTCTGCCCTTTCCACTTTGAATTCTATGTTATCTGCTGAGAAAGACCAAGGTTTTAAAAGAGAAGTTTAGCACTTCTATTTGTCCTTTCTCCCTCCCTTTTTATTTTCTTTGACCAATTAATTCTTTACCATCTTTCTCTCTAATTAGTGAGCCTTACTCTGAATAACATTTTTAAAGTTCTTTTGTTTTGGGCACATTTTACAAGTCTTTAAGGTTTAATTTCCTTGATATTAGTCCTATTATCTCATCCTAATCTTCCATATTTGCCTTTCATTACTGGCATTCCTTATATTTACTGTTTGTATATTTCTCATAGATATGGGCTTAGTAATAATCTCTTTATGCAGGTAAACAGGTTTCTTCAAATAGATCTTTATATTCATTCCACAGGAGATCACCTAGAATTATAGATGAAAAGCTAAACCTTTCCAGATTTCCCATCACATATGAGCTAAAGCCCTCTAAGGCTCTCAGAAACGGAACCATGCCCATCTTTTATCTGAACTAAATATTTAGATTCTGCTTTTCTCAGTCTAATATATCTGTCTGAAACTCTCCAGTGTTCCCTATCCTTGCTTGCTGAATTCCAAGAAGACATAATTTAGTTCAGCGAAGACTCTATAGTCACTTTTATTACTGATTTATTCTCTTGTGTTAAAAAGAATTAAGCCCAGTTTCTCTCATGTCTTCTTTCATTTCAGAGATAAAACTACCTGTCTAAAATATGTTTTCTCAACATTATTGGCTACTAGCAACAAAACTAAAATGGGTACTACTTTACACCCTCTAAAATGGCTCTATCAAAAAGACAAACAATAGCTTTGTGTTGGTGAACATGTAGAGATATTGGAACCCAGACATTGCTGGTGAGAGTATAAAATAGAATGGCGACCTTGGAAAACAATTTGGCAGTTTCTCAAAGTTAAATATAGAGGCACCATAGAACCTATTCATTCCACACCCAGGTATACACAGAAGAGAACTGAAAACCTATGTTCCCAGCAAAACTTGTACATGAATGTTCATGGCAACATTATTTGTAATAATCCCAAACTAGAAATAAGGAAAACATTCATCTGATGAATGGTAAATATAACGTGATGTATTCAAACAATGGAATATCATTCAGCCATAAAAATGAGGGAAGTCATAAAAACGAATAATAAGTGCTAAATCATGGATGAATCCTGAAAACAATATGCTAAGGAAAAGAAGCTAGATACAAATGATCACGTATTTTGATTATGTGATTCCATTACATGATATGTATACAACAGACAAATCTATAGAGATAGAAAGTAGACTAGTAGTTGCCTGAGGAGAGGGGTTAATGGGGAGTGACTGTTAATTGGTATAGGCTTTCTTTCTGGGATGATGAAAATGTTCTGGAACTAAACAGTAGCAATGTTGTACAACTTTGTGAGTATACTAAAAAATCAATGAGATGCAACAAAAAAAACAAGAGAATCTAAAAACAAGTTTTGCTTTTAGAAGAAACAGAGTTGTAAATGTCAAGATAATTAACCTTTTCTCTGTGTGCCGTGAACCCTTAGAGTTTTGAAACCCACAATAGGAAATATCTTTTGTATTCTTCCAATTGGATAGTCTAGGTATGACACCATCCTATGAAATTTCATTTTCCTTTTATACTCACCCAAACTCTATCTCATTTTTTATTCTTATATTTGTGGGGTTTAATATAGAAGTACCTTTTTATAATCAATGTTTCTTTTACTTGATCTCTTTTTGAAATGCGATATAATAACTCAATATAATCTGTTGCCCTGTTCATATTAACTCTCTTGTGATTCAAAGTCAATCCAGTTTCCATTTTAAATTAATTTCATTGGTTATGCAGATGAAAACCAATGTGACTAGTGAAAAGAGGTTTGCCCCAAGGAAACTGGACTGAGGTGGGACAGGGGGCTAATGCCTTTTTTTCAAAAGCTCATCAGCTGAATTTGTTATCCTGTAGAGACTGATACAAATAACCCTGAGATCTAGAACACGATAGATGGAAAAATGATACCTTATAAATAGAGATATTTAAGCTGGGAGGAAGACAGAACCTATAGAGCCAAAGTAGAAAAATAATTTTAAAGATCAATTTGGGAGATGGTGTTGAAATTGACCCAGACTTCCTTTTTCCCTTATATTCATGCAAGTTTGTGGCCTCTCTTCAATGTTATAAGGTATAGCTAGGTAACCTGGGGGAACACAGCATGAACAAAGTGTCCTTCAGGAGCTTGCTGGCTTACAAAGGAGATACCATTTCACAGGCTATTGGAGAACAGACAGCTCAGGTCAGGAGCCTAAAGGTTTTACAGACAAGGGCTGTAGGGTAGGAAGGGCCAGGTCACACCCTGGCACATAGGCAGGATCACAGAGGAGATGGCACAGGACCAGAAAGATGTTATCCTCTTACAAAGCACAAACTAGAAGGAAGGGGAGGACAGTCTAGGTTGAGAAATGATATGAAAAATATACGAAGGCAAACAAGTATATAATGTATATCTCCAAGGGTGAGGAAGTACACTCATTCAGGTGGAGCACAAAACTTTCATAAAGGAATAATTGAAGATAAAACTGGGGAGGTGGAGGGGTATAGTTGTAGAAGCTGTGGGGCTTTAGGTGGAAGCACTGGAAAACCATTAAAGTTCTTGAACTGGGTGGTAATGTGACCAGTGACCTTTTCAAGATATGAAGAACAGTCTAGATTAAAAGGCAGAAAAGGCCACATGTATAGAACTCATTTAGGAAGCTGGGACACATTAGGGTGGTAACAGTGAATACAAAAGAGGAGGAAGTTGTGAAGCAGGTGGAAAAGGAAGGATGAACTACATTGACTGGATAGTTCTCCACATTTTCACATGGTGACAGATTCTGATCCTAAAGAAGCTCCAGGTTATCTGCTGCAGTCCCTCCTCTGCAGGTAGGAACATCAATGGGGCTGATACTATTCAGCCTGTTAATGGTTCATTATTGGTACCATCTGGAGAGGAGAAGTTAGACCCAAACCCCATTACTCATTTTATTAACTCCCATTTTCATTTGGATCTGAACAAGGTTCGGTGTATCTACTACCTCCTTTGTGCTATTTGCTTTAGCTGGTATTGAAATGAGTCTGTTATTCTGAACTCACAGTTCATTGGATTAGGCAAAATGACCCCCAAAACCACAGTAATGCAAGGTAAAGCACCCTAATATTGAGTGTTCACAGTGTAGGATTTATAATTCACTTTTGAATTATCATCATAATAATCACTTAGCCTCAGGAATGACGCTAAGGTCTTAGTTTGTTACACAAAATTGGAAGAACATGTACGGTAGTGACAGACGGGATCTAAGTAGGTTAGAGCACTAATAGGTTCTCCTCCTTGGCGCCCCCAAAGCAGCTTTCACCTGGGAAGAGCAACTGCCAAGTGTGGAATTGATGCCAAGAAAGGGTCCTATGTGGCAAGGAGCCCTGGTAAGAGATGGGGACACTACAAATAGGGAGCTGGGACAGATCAGATTTTTATTCAAACCCAAGTGTTGTCAGATCAAATGCTAGCTGTGAAAGCAGACAAAAATCATATTTCCCTCCATTATAGTACCCCCTCAGGGTGTATAGGGATATGAGCAGGTGTGCACATCTTGTTCTCCCCGCCCAACTCATTAGCAGTTTTGAGGCCGGATGGAAATAATGAAACTTAATTTACAACCCACCCACAGTCACTGGCCCTTCCCATAAGATAGACTTCCCAAGCTATTCAAATTTTAAGAATATGTGGATATGTGTAAATACGCACAGGTGTGTGCACATTTTAGCATGAATATACACTTTTACCTTATTTGGTCTGAAAGAATATTAACGGATCCCAGAATATGGACCAAAGAGACTTTGAAAGCAGTGTACAGCAACTGACTTCCCACCTACAGCTGCTCTACCCAGCAGCTGCAGTTCTTCTGATATTCAGATTTCAAAGGCGAAAACATGCTTTCCTAAACATGCTTCCAGAGGCTGGGCTTGTTTCCATTGTGTGAAGCTGGCCAGAATGGGGGGGTGCTAGGTGGACTTGGGGAGGGGTTTGGGATGTTTCCTACCTTGGCAGGCACCCTGAATTCTCCATATTCTTTCAGCAGCTCCTGAGTTTCCTCTGTGGTATCTCCAGTGGAGGTATGTGTTGAGAGGTAATATTCACCCGTTTCTTGGATCCAGTCCAGTGCCTGTGAGGGGAAACAACCCACCCAGTCCCTCAGAAGGCAGCTATTGGAAGGAAAACATGCTATACTGCAAGGAAGGTTCTTAGTTTGAGCCAACATGCTGGACCCAAGGACTGTTGATGTGATAGGTATGTAGCTCTGAAGGTGTTTTTATTTTTATTTTATTTTATTTTATTTTATTATTTTTTTAATAAATTAGTTCTCCCCTCATGTGGAATATCCCACCATTAAAGCATTAGATTGGGAACTCTCCTAGCCAGGCCCAGTGTCATCCATGAGCAAGGAGCATCGTGAGTTCCTTGGTATCCCTTCACATCTGCTGCAGCCAAACCCAGAACAGAGTGCTTGTTTAAATTTGAATGACTGACAAATGCAACCTGTTCTCTTTCATCTCTTCACTTCCACTTCCTGTCTTCACTCTGCCTGTGACTGTGCCCTTTTCTGGACTGTCCCAAGCTTTGGTTTTGGGGGCCTCTATACTCCTCACAACTGAGACAAAACCAGGGAAAGCTCTGGACATACCTGCTTAGCACTGCGCTCAAATACCACATATTGCTGGCACTGGTCTAACCGACGTTTCTTCAAGGTCCAGAAGTGTAGAACACGATTCTCCCTCTGTAAGAGCTCACTCAAGATGGCTGTGGGAAGAAGAAGTGAGCACTGGTCATGGGAACGGCTGACCAAATCTCCAACCAACTCAGTCCCACTGCTCAGGCACCAGGTGACTGTGACTTTCAAGCAACCCCATAGGACTAATCCAGCATCAGAACCAAGGGAGCAAAATCTTGGGACACAGAATTCCCCAGAAGCGAATAAGATCAGGGAGACTAGGGCAAAAGCCTGTTATTGAGGGTTCCATCCATCTACTAGGGAACGAAGGCTATGCCACCAGCAATTTACAAGTGACAGTGATTCTCTTCATACCAAAGTTAGTCCTTGGTTGTAAGAGACCTTGTGAGGAAGCAGTCCCTAAAATAGCAACTAATTCAGTTGGCCCTGGAGCTTAATGAACATGGATGGATGTTGCCCGGGCATTCCTGAGGCTTTACTAGGAGAAGGGCAGGAGATGAATAGTGCAGAGAGGGATGAGTTGAGGTATGGACAGCTCACATCATGGGCCACCTTCTCTGTACTGTATAGGAGTTGTACACACAGCACTTTAACAGTAGAGGCAAGGTCATAAAGCTTCCAAACAGGGGGCATAGGGAAGCTACATTGTCCTGTCTCTAGGTACAAGCTTCCATGTTGTTTCTGATCATAAGAAAGCTGAAAGCTCTTAACTCTAATGATGATAAACAAGAGGATGTGTACAAGTCATGAAGCACCACAAGGGGGCCATGGTAGGGGGTCAGTCCTTTTCTTTCCTACTTCTCCTTTTAGCAGTAACTGGCTACAAAGATTGATTTCCTTAAGTGGTTTAAATGGTATGTTCTACGCTTGAAGCAACCAAATTTATTTTGTATCATTTCTGCCTCTTGATTCCTGCTAATTATATTAGATATTAAAAAATACATAACAATAATATGAATAATTAACATTTAATAAGCACTTATTATATGGCAAACACATGTTTTTACAATACCCTATGATAAATGTGCTTTTACAAATAAGAAAACTGAGGCTCAGAGAGGATATGTAAATGCTCAGATTCACTAAGATAGGAAGGGGTTGAGCTCAGATTTGGTCCAAGTGTGTTTGCCTTCAGAGCTCTGTGCTCTTGGCCACCCTGGTCTCCATGTTATAAAGCTGTGCTTTACCAACGTGGCACAACCCAAGCTGTGGTGTTTATACTTAATGTTTTTGTTGATTTTGTTTACTTTTAATATCCTTGGAGGGTTTGGCTTTAAGAATAGCTCCCATAAGCTGACACCTTTCACAGGTCCTAATCATTCTCCATTCCCTACAGCTGTCTACGCCTTTATTGCTTAGCTTCTTAGTTCTTTGCCAGAGAGGTGAAGTATATACTTCCTCACTCCCTCACTGACCTCTGGTTCGGGTATGTGACTTACTTTGGCAAATAGGTTGTTAAGAGATATGACACTAGCAGGAACTTGAAAATGTGCTTGCTTAAAATCACTTCTGGGTAACTTCTGGCCTTCGATCCCACGTCTCAGCATGAACAGACAAGAATCTTACCGATAGTTAAGGAGCCATGCCAGCCGGCCTGAAGCACAGTTAGTTGTATTGCCAAGCATGGCCATTCTAGCTAATCCCAGTTATTTGAACAATAAATGTTCACAGTTGTGCAACTCTGAATTTTGGTGTTGTTATGCAGCAATCTTTGCTCTCATAGGTAAACCTAAAATATATAGCAATGGATTTGGGTCCTGGCAGCAGGTGAAAAGGAAACAGATACAGAAGGAATTCCAGGTCCCTGCTCACATGAGAGCTTCCAGTGGGGGAAAGATAGAGTGAGAACCTGCCTCCTTTAGCCTTTACAAGCACCAGTCAGGCTCTGCTCACTGCAGCCTCCCTTTGTGATGGCTGAGAGAATCAACCCAAGTCAGGCAAAACCCCTAAAAGGTTTCAAGTTTCATCCCCACCCCCTTTTTGAGAGCTTTCATAATGGCTTCAAACTTCCCTTGGCCCAAGATGATGTAGGCATCCTGGCTCCCTCTGGGTGCTTGGCCCTTATCTGCATACACAAGTGTAGGTGCTGGGTGTGGCCTCTCAGCAGCAACTGGCCTCACCCAAGCTGCCATCTGCATTTGGAAGTCAGAACATATGCTTTGAAATGTGCTTTAAGGAGAGGTTGACATGATGTCAGCCACCCACAGGGTCCCTCAATCAAAAACAGAATAACATAGCTGGAAAAGGAACTGTGTGTCCCTCCTCTCTGTAGGGAACTTTGGTTCCTAAGTTTAATTCTTTTCAGTGGCTTTTGATCTTCCTAGCTCTTGAGCTCTCTGAGCAGGGCAGAAAGCCCTATCTAAAGCAGGTCACACATCCCTATTCTGTTCATGGTGTCTTCAAGCTTATCACACTCCAAGTCAGCTTGAATTCCCTACCCACCTCCATCCAGGGTTGTATTTGTCTGCTTTTATAAGTGGACATGTATTAAACTTGTCATCTACTCAAAGGCTAATTTGTGCATGGCTAGAGTAATAATTTAAGGTAGTAACAGATAATAACTTGAGCTTAAAATGATCAGATAATTAAGCAATTTTTAAAGGTTATATAATTTTTTCATTTAATCACGGACTTTATAGAATTCAGAGAGATATTAAAATTTATCTAGAATAGTAGTTATATAAATATGACTTGCACACAAACTACGTGGTGGATGGGATAAGTCGTGCCAAAATTCAGGTTCTGACTCTGTAGGTTTGGTTGGGGCCTGAGATTCATACAGTTATATCAATGCTGTTAGTCTGGGACCACATTTTTCAGTAGCAAGAGCCTAGACATTCTCCCCACTTTAAATAAGAAAACTAAAGTTTTAAAGTTTAGGCAATAAATGACAACTCTACAGTTAGATCTTGGTTTTATGATTCCCAGTTCTTGCCTCATTGCCAGTGGTTAAGATACCTAGTCTTGTGCTATTCAATATGTCAGCACAAGTCACATATGACTATTTATATTTAAATTAATTAATATTAAATAAAAGTAAAATATTAGCTCCTCAGTTGCATTAGCCATATCTCAAGTGCTCAATAGGCATATGTGACTAGTGGTTACCATATTGTACATTTCCATTATTTCAGAAAATTCTACTAGGCAGTACAGCTCGAGCTTTAAGATACTATTTAAAAGTCTGGGGAAAATTTGTCCTCATTTTTCCATTCAGAATCTTGATGCATATTAAGAAACTGACCATGAATCACCAGTGCCCACACCATCCCACATCAGATTTTTTTCTTCTCTAAGAAAAGAATCAGGAAATTTGAAATAGCATGAAGACTAGGTCCACAGCACAGTGTAGGGAGGGCTGGCCTCTTGTCCATGCTAGTGAAGTAACTTGAGGCCTGGTAGGCCTCTCACTGACCTTTCACTTGCTGCTCAGGTCCTCGAGTATGGCTAGCAACACTGGGCATGCTGACGTTGTTCCTGTGGATGTACTTGAGAAATACTTCAGCGTTCCGCCGTGCCAAGGTGCAGGCCTGAGAGAGACAAAGGTGTGAGGTGCTCCTGTCCCCAGCAACTGTCTAGTGTTCTAGCCACCAGAGAGGGGTGCCCTCCTTCCACTTTTTAGGAAGCTTGAGGGCTTGACAGTCATGAAGATGCTGGAGGAGTCCTGTGGGAGCACAACTCTAGAGGTCACTTCTGGTTCATGGATGGTCCAATTCCAATTTAATAGGCTCGTGCTCTGAGCTTTCCTTTTATCTATGCCTGTCCTCTTTCCATTTAAGATAAAAATCAGAAATCAATAAAATCCTTTGACTACCTGTAGGTTGATCTGGCATTACTAACATTCACTCCCAGGCTGGTTTTCCTTTTCCCTAGAATACTTCTTATGATGACCACTGGTGAAAGTCCAGGCAACATAAGCCCTCTTTAACATTTGTTTGATTCAGACTTGGGGAAGTTTGTTTGTTTGTTTGTTTGTTTGTTTGTTTTGTAAACACACTTATTAACTCTACATTCTAAATCTAAATGGAAATTGTTACCTGCATTTTTCAAATTCATATGTCTATCCATCCCTTACCTAAAATCACCAATAAACTTTCTATTATTGGAAAACACTGATCTCTGTAACAGAATAAGAACCATTATGACTTTAAGAGCCTTTAAGACTCAAGTCAGTTGTGGGGGCAGAGAGGACAGGTCACATTCTCCTTGTTATACTGATAGACAAGACTGAGGCCCAGAAAGGGCACAGGCAGATCTAGAATTTAGGTCTACTGACAGAGTATTTCTAGTTTCTCAAGCTTATATAGTTCTGGATTTCTCTGAAAAAAGTTTTAACTCTCTTGTTTATAAAAGTAACAGGCTAGTATTCTATTTTTTAATCTACAAGTTTCCAGAATTAAATTATCTCTAGACCAAATTGTTAAGTTTTAAACCTTCTTATACTTAGCCTCAGATCCTATAAACTATATGATTAAAATTGTTCTATAACTAACATATGATTAATATAATTCTAAAACCATATAATTTTTTGATTATATAAAAATTAGCAACAAAAGCTTCTGGGATCTTTGGTAGAAGTCTATTGGTGGGTCCATGAACTCTCAGGCACATAAGTTTGATAGCTTGATGGTGGTCTAAAGCTAAAGAATCTGAAATGGATCAGCTAATGTGTACAAACAGAGTGTGATATTCTGTCTGTTGGGCACAGAATTCCCACAGCGATGGAGAGTTTTTCTCTATAATTTTGGGAACATATGAAAAATATCAGCCCAGAAAAGTTTTGTTTTTCTTCTTCAAAAGAAATGTTTAATTTTTATGAGTAAATACCTTTATCTCTGTATTTAAAATCCTTGATATTCTCTACTTAAATTGTTTTGTTTTAAATTTTGTTTTATAATAGGGAAAAATTTTTAAACTATCTTAAGCCCAGCATGGAAAAATTCCTATTCCTGATGACTAAAGGTTCTAACCAGTATAGCTTCAGATACTAGACAGATGGGAGAAGGCCATCTTTAAAAAGAACAAAAAATATAACTCCAAAAGGTGGTCAAATAGAGAAAATCCCTAATAAAAGAAAGGCAGTTAATTATAGAATTGCATAAAAATAGTGGCAGTCTGTGAAGGTATAAACATTCTCTCGTGCTTACCTGAGAGAAAGTAGAACATGAAAGCAAGAAATTTGGGAATGAACAGAGACTTTAGATTAGCCTGGATACAGATGTTTAAGAGAATATCAAAGATCTTCCTGCTCCATTGAAAGCCTGTAAACAGCACGGCTGTGCTTCCTCCCTGAGAGGCTCAGGCTCTAAGCCCAGGAAAGGTATTCTACCTTCATACAGGAGAATAAATAGCATGGCATTTATTGGTAATTGACAATTGCTAGACTGATAAATAAACACGGTGTCTAAATTTATTTGCTTAATTCTTACCCTAAACTTTTATAAAGGATCATAAATAGATTATCATCTATTTATAAAGTATTTTTAATAGCGTTTTATACATTTTAAGTGTTTTCTATCTTTTAATAAAAAAGTAATTTTATAAACCAAACCACTGAGTATATTTTTCTCAGTTAACAACGTCCACAGGATATCAAGATATTGAAATATGGCAACAGCAGTAATGTTATATCCTAATTGCCCAATGATACCAAAAGTGCTGAGAGAGAAATGAATGCTTGAAGCATAACCTTACTACCTTTGCAACTGACCAGTCAACATCTTCTCTACAACCTCTCTGCCCTGTAGATAAGAAGTTAGCAAAAGCAGGGGGCTGGGAGGCCCATATGAAACAAGTGTGTGTGTGTGTGTGTGTGTGTGTGTGTGAGAGAGAGAGAGAGAGAGAGAGAGAGAGAGAGAGAGAGAGAACGCACGTGTGCATGAGAGCACCTACATATTGAAAGAACAGACTGGAGTCTGAGAGTTTATGTGAAAATGTGCTCTGACCTTAAGGAAAGCCTCCTTTTGTTCCAAATGTTTGCTGATGAGGGGGATAACATGGTCAATCTCTGCTGCTGGCCCCAGTTTATCTCTTCCACCACACCAGTCCTCATCTCTTCGGTACTCTTGCTCTAAGCTCTCCAGAACACTGCATACCTAATGAATCATGGAGAGAAACACTCAGTAAATTAATCAGTTAGGAAGTATTCTTTGAGGACCTTCAGCCCACAGAATTCCACACAGTGACACATTTCATTCAAAATTCAGTCTGTCCATTTAGAGTATGTGGTGACCCTGGGGCACCCAAGAGTCTTAAGAGAAGTCCAGAAGGCAGTGAGAAGCCTGTGTCTGGAGCTTGAGAGACAATCTTCAACTGGAGATATGATTTGGGGATTGTCTTCTTAGAGTTGATAGTAGAAGGCTGTAGCTATGGGGGTTGATGACATTACCAAGGAATAGTATGAAGTAGAAAAAAAGGAAGGAAGATAGTATATTGGAGGCATTTCAAAGTTTTTATATATTTAATATTGGTATAACTTCACAATAAGTGTGAATTTACAGAACAGGAAATGGAATTTTGAGAAGATGCTCAATTTCCAATCATCTGCGCTTGTCCTGTAGTAAGGAGCCTTCAGCAGAGGTAAAGAAGGAAGTTGCCACTGTTGTGTGATTTATGAGCCATAAATGAAAGTCCTCTTTCTCTTCCCCTGGGAAAAATGTCCCAAAGTCCTGCCATAAGGCATGACATCTTAAGGCTCCCTATTGCAAAATGTACATTTTCTTCACAGGGAAAATAAATTTGAGTTAACCTAAAAGACAGTTAAGAAGACGTTCAGTTCTAAAAGTGTGCAGAAGCCATGCTGGGGGACCTTATAAATGACTTCAGGAGAGAACAGAGCATTTTGAAGGGGGTTTGAAGAGAAAGTTAGGTTGGGTCCTACAGTGGGAAATTCAAAGAGGTCTGGTATCATGGACTAAGGGAGGATTCAGAAAGACGAAACTTAAATTCCTGCTTTCCTTCAATAGACTTCGACTACTTGCTTGGATATAGCAACTGGGGGAGCAGCTAAAACTGTCTTTCGCTTTCTCTGAGAAAGCCATCACTTTTGATGAAGGATTTATATCATTGGACAGGATGCTCACTGAGTTATAAACTAAGCTGAAAGATGTCTCAGACAGAACATCCTCATGGCCAGACATGTTTCTCATATCATGAGATGGTCTGTTCCTAAATCCTGGGTTGCTTGTCTAGTCCCATCTCTAGTACTTGTCTTCAAGAAAGACGTTTAAATATGCACAGGCAGACTCTTGTCTTGGGATAAAACAGATTATAGACATACAAAGACATTAAGAATAAGACTACTTGAGATCTGTCCCATGATAAGATTGGACTTACAGCCAATCAATGTAGAAGTTAAAAGTGAAATGATTATCAAGTATAAATCCTTTCATAGGTGAAGAAACAAATCTAGAGAAATAAAGTAACCTTCAGCAAGGTCAGTTCAGGGTCAGATTTTCTGACTCTTAAATAGTACTCTGTCCCCTTCATGATCTTGATCCATCTCAAATGGAAATTTGTACATTAGATCGGGATTAAGTCTCATTTTTTCCCATATAGACATTCATTTGGGTAGTGCCAATTGCTGAAAAGACTTTCCTTTGTACATGGAATTGCTTTGACAAAAATCAAACACCCATATAAATGTGTCAACTTTTATAACCTCCATTCTATTCCATTGTGTCTATTCTTATACCAATATTATTCTGTCTTGATCACTGCAATTTTAGAGTAAATCTTTAAATCAGGTAGTGTAACTCCTCCAAATTTTGTTCTTCCCTTTTGAGATTGTTTTGGCTTTCCAGGCTCTTTGAATTTGCATTCTTTTCATGTGCATTTTATTTCCATGGACATCCTAGAATTGGTATGTCAATATCTACAAAAAAGCTTCCTGGGATTTGATTTGGATTGTGTTGATTATAGATCAACTGGGGAAGTTCTATCATCTTAATCTGCTGCTGTCACTTCTGTGGCCATCAAAAGCATAATCTCTCTGAAAAAAACATAAGAAACATGAAGTGTGTGAACTATAACACTGGTATAGGCTCTTATGGGCATGTTTTCTTTGCTCCAAGGCAGACTTCCCATGGTCCCGATAAGTCATTTAGAGGGGGAATGTATTTTTTAAAAATATTTATTTTTTAGTTGTAGTTGGACACAATACCATTTATTTATTTATTTATTTACTTACTTATTTATTTTTATGTGATGCTGAGATTGAACCCAAGGCCTCGCACAGGCTAGATGAGTACTCTACTGCTGAGCCACAACCCCAGCCCAGAGGTATTTATTTTTTATTTATTTCTGCTAGGGAGCAGTTCCATGAGAAAACTATTTTCCACTGAATAAAATTAGTCCTGTTTGAAGCCTCTATTTCATGAAAAGAATTTCAAAAAACAACCAAAACAATTAAAAAAAAATCCTAAGCCCTGCCCAAAATTGATGTACTGACGTAATGGTAACATATCTGCATCTTCAGGGCCCTGCTGTACACATCTCCTGCCACTTCTCTCATTGCTGCACTATCTTAACCACTTAGGCTCACAGTTCCCCAAGGACAGAGCTGAGTTTCCTCAAATAGGCTGGAAACCCCAGGGATGGCAGGGTCATATGTTTTTCAAGCAGTGCATAATGACTAGTTGCAGTAGATTATATTATTGTTCAATAAATATTCATTTTCCTCTCCAGAATTTCATTGGAGGCATTGTTACCTCACTGATGGCTTGGCCATGTGATTGTTTGGGCTAATGGGACATTAGAGAATGTGACAGAAGTAAAGTCTTGAGATGCTCTTAGACAGTAGGTTTTGGGCTCTTGCACTTTCTGTCTTTAACTATAAATGTGCCTCAAGTAGCTGCTGGACAAGGAGGGTGAGAAACACAGGAGCATCCTTGGATGCAAACTGCAGCTTGGAACCTCGCTCTACCAAGCTCAGCTAAGATTAGTTGAACCCTAGATACTTAAGCAAAAAATAAATGCTTTTTGTTTTATGCCAGTGAGTTTTTACTGTGGCAAGAGCTGACTGATACATTGCTCAAATCTAGCATTTAGTATGCACCTCATTTCTGTTTTAACACTTCAGTACAGATATGATGAGTTTGAGAAATAAATCACATGGTTCACTGCTATAATGAAAAAGATGATAAGGAAGCCAACTGTGGTGTTTCCACACGTCATTCTTTTATTCTCCAAGTTTGTGCTGAGAGGACTGGCTCCTTGTTGGAGTCGAATTACAGAGTTGCAATGGGAAGCAGAAAGCAGCCCTCTGTCAGCCTCAGCGCACACGCCTCCTACCTTTCCCTCACCTGTTCAGAAGTTTTGTAAAAGGCCACAGATGCGTTCACCAGTTTTAACCGATCTTCCATCTTCAGCATGAGCTGCTGCCAGTGGAGGGCCACCTTTTCTGCACATTCCCGGATGGCGTCCGCATCATAGTGGCCAGCCTGGAGCAGTGCCTCAGCTTTCTGCTGTACCTGCAGGGCACTCTGGTGCGTCTTCTGCAAGGAAGTGGCATGAAAGAGGGACTGGGCACAAGGGGAGGAGAGAGAGGTCCGTGGGAACAACCCAGGCGTGGTATGGGAGGGGGTGGAGTGAGGCGTGAGTGGAAAGATGCAGAAAAGTTAAAGTGCTTTAAATGACTGATCCATTATGTCATGAAGATTAACACAGTATTGTTTTAAAGCATATTTTTTAAAAGGATATTATACATTTTCATTAACTGGTCTCTCAAGACCTTAACTTCCATCCCAGACCTTACTTTTTAATTGCATCACCCTGGATTTTAAGGACATTTCGATTCTGTGGTAGAGAAACAGGTTGCATGTAAGTCTGTTCTCTGGTACATTAAATTTCCTTTTCAAATCTAATTATGAAAAGGTTCATCATTAAGCTTTCAAAGAAGTTTTTCCCCTGCTGCAGTCCCATTTTATAGATCAAGTAAATATAGCATATTAACCCAAAAATACTCCATGTAAAATAAATTTCAGATTATGATACAGCCATTTTAAACATTAACCAGTTGAAAAGGATTATAGTAAAAGGAATAAATTTGGCAGGTTAATAAAGCTAGAGAGCAGCCTCTCACATCTTCCCTTAGTTACTTCACCAAAGAAGCAGAGTAGTATGACAGATAACTCAGCCCAACCTGTGATTTTCACATTTTTTTACATTTGCTTTTAGGATATTTACATATATATTTTTCCTTAATGCTTTTTGAAACAGGCTAAATGTAGTTTGCCTTCTCTGAGTTCACGCTAACTATACAAGGTAGGATGAGGCTGGAGGACTGGGTGCCAGGGAGGAACCAAATGGGACTGGAGTTTTCCTAAAAACAGAGTCCTGGTGTGGATGATCCATGTGAGAATTTCAGAGCCCAAGTGACTTGAAAGAGCTAACAGCACTGCTGCCTATCTCTCTGGGGTCATTCTGGCCTAGTGGTATAGTACTCATTTGGCTTTTGTACTTTTAGGAGGATTCAACTTAGCTAGAAGTGAAAAGGGACAGTGACTGAGACTGTTCTCAAGAGCGAATCCATTCAAGACTGCTTGGGTCTGGGTAGGCCCTCCCTCATTCTAACCTGCGCTCCCCTGGGTTCCCACATTTGCCCTTCGCCCGCACTGCAGACTGCAGTCCATACACTCCTTTTCCACAGTCTATGGACCCCTTCTGGCTTCCCTTTTCTTGTTCCCGAATCTGCAGTAGCTCCCTAGAATGACCTCCTCTAGCAATCCAGACCCCATGGTGCTGTGGCCTTTCCACTGTCCCTCTGTCCTGTGTCGGCATCAGGTTCCTAACTGAGAACGAAAGCAGAGAATCAACACTAAAGGCAGAAATGATCCACTACAAACCCCTGGTTTTCTATGCCTGGTTTACTGGCACTGTCTTTTCCCTGCTGCTAGATGCAGAGGTGCTAAGGTCAGTCCTTGCCTTTCCTTCACTCCAGCAGAGCTCTGATCTATTCCCCGGGCTTCTATTACCTCATCATGACCTGCACACACCTCAATTTGTGAGCAGCATTCATTCAGTTGGTCTAACTGCCTGTCCCATGTCAGTCTGTTACAAAGACACATTCTCAGCAAAGGAAATGATCTTCCTAGTGAACAGAGGGGCCATTGTCAGTGAGTGGGAAGGGATTTCAGTTCCTCGAGTTCCACAGTGGAAACTGAACTCCTCTTCTCTGTGAACAGTTTTCCCTGTTCACCTACCACTTCTGTTGATACTCCACTTTCCCCTGCCACTTGGGATTGCAGTCTTGATATTATTCATGACTCCCCACTCCCTCAACCCACCCAGTCCAGCCATTACTACTTCATACACAAACTGCTAGGGGGGGTGACATAAGTAGTTTTCTTTTCTAATTTTTCTATTTCTAATCTACCAAATCCATCCTTCACGTGTGTGCGTGCATGCATGCGTGAGTGTGTGTGTATGTGTATGTGTGTGTGTGTGTGTGTGTGTGTATGTGTGTGTGTGTGTGTGTTGGTGGTGTGCTGGGGATTGAACTAAGGGCTGCAAGCATACTAAATATTTATTTTGACCACTAAGCTATTGCAGTTATATGGCAGTTTTGCTTAATTCTCTGTAATAGGAAGTGTTTGTAATAAGTGACATCTAACATTCTTTCCATCTCTAAAGCTCTCATTTTATGCTAAATATCACTCCCTTCTCTTAATTCAAAAGCCTTACCATGGTTCCTCCATTGCTATGAAATTAAGTCCAAACTTGGTATTTGTCATTAAAAGTACATTACAATTTGGCCCTAGCTACTTCTATAACATTATCACCTACTGCTTCCCCTGCAACCTTCTGCAAACACACCACATGCTTTCTTACCTCCCTTTGCTACCTCCTTTCTTCCTGCCATGATGGATACCCTCTGTATCCTCCTAAGGCAGTGTCTTAGCTTTCCTTTGAGACTCACCTAAGGTCTGCCCTCCTCAACCAGGCCTTTTTAGATGATCTGAGACTCACAGAAAAATGACCCTACTCCTATGTCACTCATCTAACCCTTGGTCATTACTTAGACTGTAAAACTCTCAAAGCAAGGGCAGTTTGGAAAATCATTTAAGCATCTGTCATTTATCCAGTGTTCACACTCTGTGCTGGGCATTATGCTTACACATATTTTCTACTTTTCCCAACACTACTACAACGTGGATATTACTACTCCCATCTCAGAGATTAAGAAGCAGAGTGCCCAGAAATGCACAACCAAGGAAGTGATGAACCCAAGAGGGAGACTCAGGTTTCATCTACTCCCAAACCTATGTCCTTTCTACTATATCATACCACATCATCTTATCTCTAGGAATATAATGGTAACTATAGTAGTTCTCATTTGGAAGAAGGGTTCACAAGATGAACATTAGTGATTATGGTAATTATATGGCTTTACCTCAATACATTAAACCAGCATGTAACTATCATCATAAACCTGTTATCATGCCCTTCTCTGAGAGTGGAGGTATAGGCTGGATTTTCCTATAAGTTATGGTATAAAATAAGTTCTCTTCCTTACTCTGAAACTCATTATCATTTAATAGTCCTGAGCACTTCTTTTTCCCCTTTAATTTCCTAAATAATAAACTCTTATCTATGTGGCATAATCTTTGCTTCACTAAGCTTAAATCATTATTTTGCATTTATTTCTACTCCCTATTATCAAATCCCATTGTGTGTTATATGTTTAAGACAAGGATTATCAAGGGCATTCGTATTTAGGAGTATGCAGAAGAAAATTGAACTGAATCAATTGCTCTTATTATCTAGTTTTAGCTACTTTTTTTTCTGGCATAATGTTTATACTTAAAATGCATAAGAGGATTTCAAGTAAAAATGGATTTTAAAAATGAGCTTTTCTTTTGAAGTTCCTGAAGAAACATCAGCTGCCTCTATTGATATTAACATATAATAATCCAGGTTTGCTTGATAGAGCTTTTCTGCACCTGGGTGCTGAGTACTTCTGTCCATTCTGAGTGGTTCTGGGAAAGATTTACTGAAACCAAGGCTTCTGATAAAAATTTTGATCTTCCCTGGAGAGACTGAAACCTTCAACCCAAGGAGGTTGCCCAAACTAGGGTTAGCAGATATCCGGGTTTATAAAGGACAGTTCTACTCTATGTCTGTTCTTTTGACTTAGTAATTCTCTTCAATTTGTAAAGTGTCTCAGTTTACACAATAAATTATATGATCATCCTACTAATAGCTATTTTATTTTCCCTTATAGAACCCCAGGTTCTTTCTTAGGGTCTATTAAGTCAAATCCTGTTTGCTATTAGCAATCATTGTAAAAGCTTCCAATAATACTATCAAAATGGGGTAAGCCAAACCAGACTTAGACTTCCTTTAAAATTGCCTTCATCCTCCCTGGCATATTTTCCTCCTGATGCAGAACCTTACAGAGACCCCCTGGAGAAGAAGCATATGCTGAAATTCTGGTTCTGTTCTTGTTATTCTAGCCATACTGAAGATCCTGCCTACCTCCCATTCCTAAGATCTTCCAGAAATCCTATCTGCTCTGCTCTGCCCTCTTGAGACCACAGACACCAACCTTAGAGTTGCTATATCTCAATATAAATTCTAAAGACTAATTGATCAAGTTTTACCAATATAGAAACCTAGGACTGATTGGGAGGCATTAATCATAATTTAATCATCTGACAAGTCTCTATGCTGCAAGGATACTGCAGCATCTGAAAGAAATTAATACATACTGCATATGCAGCTGTGTGGAATTTAGTCATTTCAATAGCACTGTGAAAGCATTTACCTACATCTTCTTTTTATTTTTTCCTCCCAGTTCTGGGGATTGAACACAGGGGGTACTCTGCCACTGACCTACATATTCAGGCATTTTAAACAATTATTTATTTTGAGACAGGAACTCACCAACTTGCTGAGGTTGGCCTTGAACTTGCAGTCTTCCTAGGCTCCAGAGTCCCTAGGATTACAGGCATGCACCACCACACATGGCTCATCTACCTGCTCTTTCTTGCCAACTCACTAAGATGCTCAGGTGTGTCATGACACTTGGTCTTTCCTGCTTAACATTTCTTTAAGGGACTAGAAATTTAATCATCTGACAAAGCATGTAAACCTTCTCATTCATGAAGAAAAAGAGGCCAAGAGTGGCTTTGTCTCTGCCTAACCTCCCTCATCGCTTCTCATGCCTCTGGTCTGATTGCCCAACCCTCACTGCTTCCTATGCCCTAGTGGAAACATGACCACTGAGTGCCTGATTATAACCCCAATCCTATCTATAGTGACTAGGTCCCAGCACTACTGTATTTGGTTGTGTCAGCAAACTGCAATAGAGATAGCTGATGATAATAAAACTTCTCTCCTCTGGTTAATTCCTCCTTAGAAAGTGATTTTCCCATATTGTGCATAAAACATATAGTTTATTTTAAAATCTCAAATCGCAGACCATACTTTTAGGACTAATAATCATTTCTAAGAAGATTATCAAGTATCTTATAGTAACATGTCATTCATCTTAATATTATTATTTATGAAAACAAGATGATTTCTGGAAAATTAAATAGTTGAATTCAATCAATATTTAGTTTTAAAATGCTTAGCAATCAGCTGGATTACTGCATTAAAGGCATCGTATGGGCACAGACAGTTAAATTTTTACTATTTTTCCATTACTGTTGTGCAAAATACCCACTAACAATAATTTTTTAGAAAATAACAGCTTTGTAGCTCTTACTCAGAAGTGGGCTAATTTCTATGATGATCTACAGAATAATGAGTGTCTTTGAAGTTTTCACTCTTTGTCTCTATTCCCATTGGTACTGAACTTATTTTATTTTTAATACAATTCTCATGTCCCATTTCCTATTCTTTCCTCAAACCACTGTGAAGCAATCAGCTTAAGTCTCTTTGGGAAGGAGGATGTCCTAATAGAAAGGACAATTAAAGGTATTATTTAAAGCATGGCAACATTTATATTAGATTATTATAAGTGGAGTTTATTTTAAAATAGGTTTTCATTTTAAAATGGTTCCGGTTCCCAGTTTAAAATAGGCTTTCATTTTAAAATGGTCCCAGTTGGTAACTTCTTCTAGTTGCAGTTTACTCCCTAAATATGACTTCTACCAGCATTATTGAACAACCACTTTAGCAAGGCAGACATGTGTGATCTGCTCCAATGCTGGTTGTCCTTGTTAGAAGATAGACTTTGACCTATAAACCAAATGGTTAGAAATACAATAAAAAAATATGATCCCAATTTAGTAGAAACTCATGCACTTGTTTATTAGGTCTGAGGGATTTTCAATTGGAAGTGAATTCTAACTTTTAGCTTTACATTTCTCAACTGGCACATAATCTATACTGTGTAAATATCTCAAAGTACCAGGGCCCTGAAAGGCTGAAGGCCCTGATGAGTAAGATTCTCATTCATAGTGTGCATACTTGACTTCTGATGCTGGCCTCCTTGGGGGCATGAAGCCCTACACTCACTTTCCCATCAGTACCTGGGTAGGAGGGAAGCTTCCTGGACCTGAAAGAGTAAAGACTCCCACACCTGAAGGAACACCCGACCTCAGGGAATCATGATGCCCCAGGCACAGAGCAGAGAGGGGGACAGAAAGCAGTGCAGTCAGATTTGGTTGTTACCTCGATGGCCAGTTGGAACTGCTCATGCTCCCGCTGTAGCTGTTCTGCTTCAGACAAAGAGCTGGCATTGACCAGGCTGGCGTTGAGCATGGACTCTCCATTGCGGATCCATCCCAGGACCTAGGGAATCAGGATAAGGAACAGAGGTGAATGGCTTTCCATAGCTTCCCCAGAGTGTTGCCTTATCTAAAGGCACTTCATTCAAAGGACAGAGTTCAGGAAGGGTCTTAGATGGTCAGCTCCCCAATCTCACTATCACCTTGTGACATAAGGAGTTTATTTTATGTGCCAATTTCATTTCCAGGTCTATATATTATTTCCTCCCTTTACCACCCACTAACTAACCTAATTTCCTCACTCATTTAAGCATCAATCTGATTGTATGTGTGTCTAAAGTTCCTTCAGGAATATTGAATGGTATAAATAAGTAAATTCCAACTGTTGGTATCCTATTCTTTTTTTAAGACCCAGTTCAAACAACAACAACTTCCTGAAATCTTCCACGCCTCATCATTCCTATTAGGAGCAATCTCTTCCTTTTTCAGCACAACCATACTACTTTGTATGTATCACCTATATGTTAATCACCACAGCTGACTTCTTCAGTTATTTTAACCTAAATTTCATTTTCCCCTTAGAAGGTAAACTCCCTGAAGACTGGGGCAATCTATTAGTCATATCTTAATATCACATGGTGCCTAGTACAGTATCCTACCTATCATGGGTGTGGTATAATAATGTTTTAAAAGTAATGAAGAAGACCCAAGTCATACCTGAGCGGTGAGTCCAACCTCCCTATACCTTACAAAATAGTCAGGAATAAATGGAGTTGGGGTTTGCTAGGTAAAATTATAATGGACTTAAATTATTTAGAGGCTATGGCTGGGCTGAATACAATTTCTGGGTGAACGTAATGAGTAAGTGGGGCAAAGAAAACTCAGCTAAGCAATATTAGGATAGAAGAAGATACAGCTAGCAGATAGTCCTAGTTTGTGAAATGGGCAACTATCTAGTTTAACAGAGTCTGTGTAAAATAGTCCACCTGGGAGAGTTAGGCTCTGCAAACACACCTGTTGTGTTGTCACCAGAATGCAGCTAAATATCTTCTTTTCTAGGGACTCTAAGGTTTTTGCTTGGTGAGGAAATGAAACTTCTCTGGAAATTTTAAAGTCAATAAATACCATCTATCTGTTACCTCATGCCAAAGGAAGAGACACCATGATATGTTTCAGATTTGCTTTCAAATTTTTTTCTCCCCTCAACTTCCTCATGTTAAACAACTGGAAAATACCAAGGCTGGTCTGCCTTATTGTGCATGGATAACATTGGGGCACAAGTCCTGCTGGAGCTGGGCTATTTGGATTGAGATGTTAATTCATGGCCAGTCTGGCAGGTTGTGGATGAGATGCCAATCTGTAAAGCAATTGGTTGCAGGAAATAACCACTCAGAGTGTACATGTGAAATTCCTGTTGTCACTGGTGGACTGTGGCTGGCTAGCTAGAGGTGCTAATGATTTTGAAAAGCTGCCTGAAAGTTTGCATTCATAGATTGCATGTCCAAATGCTCTTCTCTTTGGAAGATGGAGTTCATAATATGTATTTTGAACTGTGTCTCTATGTACCATGTTTCACTGTATTCTGCTTAGTTTAGAGATTATTTAAGAGTGTCAGAAAAACATTTTCTCTATGTGCAACACAAATCAATGCTCCTTCTGGGCCTCCTGAGTATTGCTGGAAAATTCTTCTCCTCTCTAGTTTCAGCCAACTGGAAACATCAGTGATAGCTATGGTGGTGGAAATACCCGTTTACCAGCTTTTCCACCTAGAAATATCATGTGTTTGGTCCCCAGTTCTTTTATTAAATCATATCCTATTGTTCATTTTATTTCCCAAATACTGTTTATAAAATACTCTTTATAAAATAATTTTGAAGTTCTAAACATTTGATTTAAAAAAATTTTAATTGTAGATGAACAGGATAATACCTTCATTTATATATTTTATGTGGTGCTCAGATCAAACCAATTGCCGTACACATGCAAGGCAAGTGCTCTACCACTGAGCCACAACCCCAGCCCCTAAACATTTGATTTTAAGAAAATAAGAATACATGGTAGTTTATACCCATGGCTTATTCCATGGTGAGATTGATCCCCATGAATGAGTCAGCCCCAGAAGTAGAACTGGCATAGTTTAGAAAAAGCATAAATTTGAAGTCAGAATACTTGACTTTGTAACTTACCTGGAAAAATCACTTAACCTATCTGAACCTCAGTTTTCTTATCTGTAAAATAAGGATAGTTGCACCTTCCCTTTTTGTATTACAGGGTTGATGTAACATACTGGAAATGTAAAGTTTGATAATGATGATGGTGTTGGTGTTAGTGATGTCTGGTAGTGCTGTGATTCTTCATTTATACTTTTCCCAATGAAAAGAGAAAAATTTTAGATATAGTAAGCTTTATTCAATAGTTTGAATGAGCTTATTGACATATTCTGATGTTTCTTAGGTTGTTGTCATCATTACCCTTTATACTCTGATTATGGACAACTCTTGTAGGTGTAATTTTCTATTATTGGGATCTTTTATCCTCCTGATTCATAAAATTTGTTAGTTATTATCCTGTGGGCATCCAAATATGTGCTAAGAGACATGAAACAAAATGAGAAAATATTGCTTCTACTAATCTTGAGCAGTGTGAACTTAGAAATATCATTTAATACAAGGCACAGTTTTCTCATCTGTAAAATGTGAAAATTTTTCTTGCCTTAAGCAAAAGGTAAAGATGAAATTAAATCACTAATATACAAATATTTTCAAACCATAAAATCAGAAGGAGAGTGGACTAGAGTAACTGGACGTGGATGTCCACACCTGATGATGACATTTAAGATGGGAAGACAAGGCCTTGTAATAATGCATGCTGAGGAAGCTGCATGCCGATGACTGTGTTCTTGAGGTCATACCTACAATAAAGTTATGAAGTTGCACTTCAGGCGACCAACTCTTAGGATTGCTATTATAGATGACCCATCACAAGGCACAATTACTTCTGAAATAGGAAAAATACTTAGGAATTTTTGGTAGTAGGGAACCTGTCTTAATCCTAGAATTCCTTACTTCTAAAAATTCCTATCTCTGAGATTGTACACATTCATTCTTCCTGGATTTATGACTATCCATTTGCCATGTGTCTTTTTACTTATCTGCATTTTGAAAGAAAAGGATGGTACATGTCCCTTTGGTTCCCCATCTTTTGGATCTGCTTGAATACCTTTCTACCTTTTACATACAGTCACCAGAACTGAACACAGTATTCTCCACAGGAGTATAAGGTCAGGCTAATATTATTTCCCTTTGTTTTGAATATATACTTGATCATATGGAAATTTTGGCAAATATTTAACCTGAGGAAGCAATCTGATATCTTATAAATTGATTTTAGCTTATTTTCTGCTAAATGCACTGCTTTGCAAGAATAACATCTGGAAATTCATTTAGTTTTATACCCATTAGGTCATTTTTTTCAATCTTCCTGAATTATCTAATGGATGTGAGGTCATCTTTACTGGAGTGGTAATTTTCCTGGAAGCAGTCTGAGAATTCTGTGGGGTTTGGAGGGTAATCTGAGGGGCACATGGGTGGCCTGGGGACCTAGGCCAAATTCTGTAATTGGGGGAGTGGTTTTCCTTCAACATTTCCCCAGAGGCAGCTCTTAGAAAGAAAGTCAGTTGCATTCCTCAATTTCATTTGTTTTGGATAATCTTCAGTCAGTCTATGCACCTTTCTCACTTGTAAAAGCTTCGTTTAATATAATTTTGGTGTAACTACATTTCTGATTATGATGCCTACACAGTCAAATCTAAACCTTTAATCTAAAAGCTCCAACAATAGAGATGTATCATAATACATTATTTTATCTCCCTTTCTGTCTAAATTAATGGCATTTCAATTAAGGTATCTTTTTACTTTTCTTTTTTTCCTCTATAAGAGTATATTCAAAAGAGAAACTCTCAAGCCAGTGTCTAAATTTAGCCTCACTGATCAATACTGACATCTAAATTAACCTGCTTTTTCCAAGTGTCAACAGTTTCCAAATCAATATTTCCTGCTCCACCAATTTCCATCAAACACAAATGCCTTCTCTGAAACTGGATCAGACAAATCCCTAAAGAAAGAGCCTACACTGACAAGGAAAACAGGTTTGTCTAATGAGGCATGGTGGCTTAACCAAGTAGCAGTCCCTTGGTGATCAAAGGGCTACTGTCTTTTGCAAAGGTCTTTGTAGGTTTCTTCAGAGCTGGACTTGAGCAAGCTTATACAGTTTTGAACTATAATCCCATGAGTGTAATTCTTGCCATGGTGGGAAGAGAACATCTTCCCACCCCTACAGAAGAACTTTTTGTCCTCCAATGCATGAAATTATGAATGGGAACAAATGCAGATATTAGTCAACCCAGGATTACTCAGATATAAACAATCTAGTTTTCCATTTGACAAACTACCTATCATCCCAGAACCCACTTTATATAGGATGTATACTTAAAGAATGAAAATTCATTTCACACATTTTAATATCAGCTTAAGGAAAACATAATTATGGAACTGATTCTACTATTGATGCTGGGGCAAAAAAAAAATAAATAAAATTAAAAATCCAGGAACAAAAGCAAAACTATGTCTTCCATTTTAAAGTCAAATAGGAATGACTACCCTGTTATCTACTTTTTTTTTTCCCCTATCAGATGATTATTCAATCCTGTCTTCTGCTACTGATAGAAATTCCCAGGCTTGAGAGCAGGGGAGGAGTTTGATGACCTGTTGGAGCCCTGCTGGCTTTAGGTGCCACACTCTCCATGCAGCCAAGACCATGTCTGCCTGTCTTTTCAGACATGGTATCAGCCAGGCCAGGAAAACCTTAGACTGGGTTCTGCTGGAGGGCTTCTCTCTAATGCTCCTGTGCGAGTATGAGGCCCCCTAGAGGCGAGACTTGCATTTAGGCAGCTTGGGCTCAGGTTTCAGCAAACTACTGTAAGCCCTGGAGAGCACTAATTCTGTGTGCCTCAGTTTCCTCATTTATAAAGAAAACATAACACAATTTCCCTCATGGGAATGTTATTTTTAAAATGAGATCATAAAGGGAAAAGTACCTCTCATATGAAAAGAAAGTACTATCACTTATGCTAAAAGTTTCAAAATTTGTGTACTCATTACTGCTCTGAGCCTGCTAGGAATTCTAACATGTCCTTATGAATAACATTTCTATTTAGAGGCTCATGTGTATCCCACTGTAATTAGGCAGAAAACACCTGGATGGCAGCTCTGTGATCCAGTCTTGCATGGGGCTCAGTGATTTGATTTCATCTGTGCTGAATATAGACCTTTAGCATGGCATGTGGCTGGGCTCTGGCTGAGCACTGATTGAAAGAAAAGAGGAATGAAGATGATTCTTCCCAGTATAATAAATAACGATGTAATAATCATGGCATAAGCATTAGCAAGGGATATCTTGAATACAGGTGAGTGAGAAATAGTTAAATAAAATATGACATTTTTGTCTCTTGTACTCCATTAATACATTTAAACCTAAAATCTCTTGTAGACATTGTACATAAGAATGTTTAAAGGTGGAAAATATTTCTCTTCTTAGGATAACTTGGGCCTAGAGGAAGCAGGGGGTCAGGGTTGCTTAGAGGAATAGGGAGCAGAAAGCAGCAACCACTGAGGTGATGAGGTCCTGCCCTGCAGGAGGCCCTCTGGCACCTGTGGAGGGCAGTGGTGTGTTCTTTCCTCATTGTGATCATAGTCTGGTGACCTCTCTAAGCTTCAGTAGCCTCATCCTTAAAACAGGACTAGTATCTGCTTCAAAGAGTGTTGTGAGGATTGATGGAGATGGAAAAGGTACATAGTATTGGAACTGTTATTGTATTTTTACTTCAATCTTTGTTTTAAAAGATGCCAATTCATTATGTTCACAAGAATTACTATTTCTCAGTCACCTGTATTCAAGATATCCTTTGCTAATGCTTATGCCATGATTATTACATTGTTATTTATTACAGTCTGCTCATGATATAAATAGTAATCATTATAGTAAATAAAGTGTTCCCCCAAAGCTCCTAGGTTAATACATGAATATTCAGAGGTAAAATAACCAGATTATAGAGTGGTAACCTAATCAGTCCATCCTAGTTTGAATGGATTAACTGGGTGGTAACAGTAGGTGGGTGGGGTCATGACTGAAAGAGGTGGGCTACTGGGGGTATGCCGCACAAAGGGTTCATTTTTCCTGAGGCCTCTTTTGCAATTGCTCTGTTTTCTGGCCACCATAAGATGAGCAGCTTCCCTCTGCCAAGACCTTCCACCATGATTTTCTGTCTTACCCGGGGCTCAGAGCAATGGGGTCAGCCAACCATAAACTAAATGCTCTGAAACCATGAGTTCAGAGTGAATTCTTCCTCCTCTAAGTTGTTGTTCTCAAGTATTTTTGTCATGGCAATGAAAAGCTAACTCACCCCGAAATTGGTATTGAGAAGTGGGGTTGTTGCTGTGACTAACTTGACCATATGGTTCAGAAGCATTTGGAACTGGTTTGATGGTCTATCTCACTTTGGGCCCACAGAAGAGTCAGTTGGCCATGGACTGAACCTCTGAAAACTAACAGTAATATTCACAAATGTATCACTTATCATTAGGTACACATTCCTGAGGTCTGAATGTGTCCTGCAGTAAAATGCCTGGTATAAGGCCTCATGCAGAGAAGAATTCTTTGATCTTTTTTAAAATCAACTTTTAAATGTCCAGAAAATGTTCCTTTAAGAGTCACATACACATTGGAAATAATGATGGAAATGACTACTACTTAACAACTATCAGCTATGTGTCAGGTACTGTCACAAGGATATAGGTACCTCAAATTTATCAATGTAACTCTGGACTCTGTGACAGGATTAAGTATAGAAAGGAACAGAATAGATTCAGTGACAGAGGACAACATGGGAAATCTCTGGAATGCTCTCCCTAGATTATAATGTGCTATAGCTTGGGGCATTTTACCATGGAGTCTATTAGGTACAGCAGCCAAACTTTCAGAAATTAATGAGTCCTTATCTATTTTTTAAGGCTTGGATACTCAGAGGTTACACCTGTGGCTGTGGCTCTGCATGCCTCACCCACAACAGGAGCGGGCACCAGGCCAGGCTCACCTGTTTGACCTCGGCCTGGAGGTGCCGCAGTTGGAGACACTGCTCTAGCCGCTTGTGGGTCTGTTCCGCGTTGAGCTCCAATTCATGCTGCTTCTCATGGAGAAACTCTAGCAGCTCTTGCACCTGGGCTGCCAGATCAATGTCTTTTTCACAGATTAACTCAATTCCTGATTTTAAAAAAATGTAAATATTTAAAAACCACATAGTTCTGTGAAGACAACATTTCCTTAATATTCGTAAGAAAACTGGATTTGGAAGTGACCATTATCAGTACCCTCCCAACCTCTACATATCCCTCTGTTCAGCTAGACAGATCCCCATAAGTGGCCCTTATTTAGGATGCTCAGCCCACGCCAGCTCTTTTGGGTTAACTGATCCTTTACCTGGAGTTACTTTTCAATAAGTGATCAGCTCTTAACTACCAAATGGAATTAGATAGTTGGCGCTCTGGAAATCCATCCCTGGTCAACATCACCCACTAGCCCCTGACAGGAGATTTCGATTTCCCAACACCCAGAATATTCACAAGCAAGCCTCTAGGTCAAATCAGAAAACATAAAACTAAACTAAATGGACCCTGTTTTAGGAAATTCTGCCAAGGGCACATTCTCTTTTAAGGTCAGATATAATTTCTCATTAGATGGGAAGTACACTATGATGAGAGTAGCTGGGGAGTGATGATTTTATTAGCCAACTTCTTTGCCTCTAAAAAAAAAAAAAGCAAGGCTTAGAAATAGACGCTAGCAGGGCTGGGATGTGGCTGAAGTGGTAGCGCACTCGCCTGGCATGCATGAGGCACTGGGTTTGCTCCTCAGCACCACATAAAAGTAAAAGATATTGTGTCTATCTAAAAAAGTAAAAAAAAAATATAATATATATATTAAAGAAATACACGCTGGCTCTCAAACACATACTATAAATACACCCTAGCAACATCACAAGGATATTGAATGCTTATCCATTTCACACAAGGAAAATTTGTTCATTATTCCACTAATTCAAAACAATTAGTAAGCCCAGTCATTGACAAGCTTCCAGTGTTAATAAACCACCAGCCTGTAATAGGGACCATGAATTGATATCTGCTAGCCAAAATCTGTGGTTCCATTCCTTCTCTACCTTCCTGTCTGCCCTTTCCCTATACCTCTCCCAACACCTGAGTGCAGATGTATACACACGTGTTCTCCTTACCCTGCCAACACTTCTATTTATACATTATCTCCACGGGTTCGGAAGTAGCCTTTCTCAAATGGATTTCTGCTTTAGGATACAAACTCTCAAAGTAAAGGGACTGCCTTAGTTATCCCAGTACTTTTGTTGCTAGTGAGTTAAACTATAGTCCTTTTTTAATTCTCAGAGACAACATGGAAAATGTACCATCTTCTGAACCAGTCCTGAGGGTTAAAATATGGGTCTTGGGCAAGACATCTAACCTGTCAGAAGCTTCATTTTCTTCACATGTAAACTACAACTTTGCAAACCAATCTACTTATCTACCTACCTACCTTATAAGTTACCTCTTAAATTTGTTGGGATGATAAAATGAGATAATACATGTAAAGCACATGACATGTACATATTGTATGCTTATGTTATATACATGCAATCAATGTAGATCCATGTACCCATAATAAATACAGATTACTGCTCCTAGTCCCATAGTTTTCCCTAGTTCCTGGCACTCACCTTAAACTTCCAACTTTCTGCCCTCTTCCATTCATTCCCTCTGGGTTCCTGTCTCTGACTTGGTGCAATTTGTGATTTACGTTGTTTCTTTATTTTAATTGTCTACCTATTTTTGATTCAGACTTGTTCAGATCCTCAGCTTCGGGAAAATCATTTTACTCAATCATTTTCCTATTCTGACCTCTGACTCTACTTGGCTCTGTAACCTCTTCTGTCCAAATCCTTTCCCTGGTTCCTTATCCTATAAATGATGGCCCAAAGCAGTTGTGGTTCTAATGCTAACACTTTATCTGAGATGCGGAAAAATAGGGACTTGACCCACAATGGGATTCAGACTCAAAAACCCAGCAGGTATGTCCTCAAATTATCCATGGTGATCAAATTCAAAGGAACCCACCAATCTTAATAAACGACCTAAAAAAAAAAAAGCCCCTTTGGGAGACATCCCTGTCACTCTGACTCTCACCATAAGAACTTCTTCACTGCTGCCACCAACACACCTGCAGCCTACAGTCGGGGGAGTACCAGGAAAGTCTGTGCACACTTAGGGAAATTCATTTCTAGAGGCAAAAATAGTGTTTTATATAAGGACAATATGGGAGAGTGGGAAAAAATATTTTCTGGTGTTACATGGTAATAATTTCAGTATCTTTTCATATTTATTTTTTTTGTCAGTTTCATAATTCCAAGTCCCAGCTCCCAAAATATCCATGGGAGACAGAGAAAAGAACAGGCTTGTTCTTTTGGCAGCCAACCCCCTCTGGTTGCTATTTTCAATTACCAGGAGGATGAGGTAGATCATCTCCTTCTCAATAAAAATATAAGAAACAGAGAGATTTCTACCTCTGCAGTGCTCAGCATGGAGAATGACTCTTGGCCCCTATGTTTACTTTCTGGAAATGTAATTTTAGATCAATCTTTTCTTCATGTCCAGTCACAGTGAGGATTTATTCTAGCTTATCTTCATTTTGCAGTGTCTCTTAATGTTTAGCATGCTGGGCTAAGTCAAGGTGTCTTTCTGTGTGAAGCTCACAGCTGACCCCTGCCACACTGATGTGAATAGATACTTGAAGCCAACAACTCATCAAGGAAGCCAGCACCTGCTTGGGACGTCATCCAGAACAGGTAAGCCTACCCTAAGAGTCAAGTCCTGCAATTTCATTTGTTTCACTTCATATTATTTTACATGAGATAAATGCAAGAAATACAAAAGATGAAGGGATGCCCACTACATCTCTGAATTCATCATTGTGAACACACCATTGTGAGTGGAGTGAAGAGGAGGAACACGAGGGCTTGTTCAACCCACTCCTATGACAGAAAGAAACCCTTCTCTTCCACTGCTCTCCAATACATTGGTGTGAGTTCCAGTTAAAACACCAACTGGTAAATATCCACCAGTTGACAGCAAGTAGAGTTTGCTTATGTTGACTTCACTGCTCTCAGTCTAATCATAGACCTACCCATCTTCCTTAAGGGGCTCTTAGAAATTCAGGAAGAGATATGTGTTCTTTATATCAAGTCATGAATTATAATAAAATGGTTGTCAATCTTTTTAAAAAGAATTGTATTGCGATGTCTTTCTGATGTGCTCCCATAGTGTTCTGTGCCCATCCCTTCATCAAAATACTTCCACCAGAGTTGGTTACTTATCAACTTATTTATATTGTACAGGAACAGGGCTCCCTGACCAGGCCTGTGTTGGCTACATTCATCTCTATTTCTTCTGGCTCCAGCATGGTGCTGGACTCGTGTCACCCAATATATCCTTGGTCAGTGAACAAACAGGCCTCTTTAGGAAGAGCTGAGGTCATATATTGTGGTGTACAGTACCTAAGAGCTTTAGGAAAGGTCATGCTTAGTTTGAATCTACATTTTGCAACCAATTAATGGTGAGATTATGGGCTTCTTATCTTTTCTGAGCCTCAGCTTTCTTATCCATCTAATGGGAATCACAACAACTTACTAGGAATGTCATGAGGACTGAGAGAGATATTCTATATAGTTATCTAGTTGGCTCAAAATATCCATTTTCCACTTTTCCCTTTAATGTAAATACCTTTTGTTGATTACTTATGGCACTGTTGAATGTCTTATGTAAAATGTAAGCATAAAATCTGCTGACAGGTATTTATGCATTTGCTTAATGCGCATCATTATAAAGTATGGTTTGAGAGCTATTACTAGGGCTCTCAATCCCTGCTCACATTAGATTCATTTGAAGAACTTATAAAAATCACCAAGTCCTGGCCACATCCCAGACCCATAGCAGCAAAATCTCTGTGAGACTCAGTTTTCGGTGATTGTTAAGACCCCCAGGCTGATTCCAACATGCAGCTATAATTGTGAAGATGGCACAGTGGCCACCATGCAGAGACCAGAGATGCTCCTGGGTTACACTCAGCTACAGAACCCTCTGCACTGATGTTTATTTAGGGTACAAGGCCACAGCAAATAACAATAAACATGGCTCTATTTTCCTTGGCTACAAGGTTGAGGGACCACTTCAGTTTCCTCAAGGAGAGAGGTAGCTGTGGTGGAGGGTCAGGTTCCGGGATTCCTGGCTGTGCTGCTCATACCTATAGCATGTTTCAACTGTTCATGTTCTTAAATATTTGTATCAGCCTCAGGCAGAGAATATCTTTTGTTTTTTCTTTTCTCCTCTCCTTCCACTTCTCTTACTGTATCACTCCCTCTATGAAACACTCAGGTCAGAACTTAAAAAGTCCTTTAATTAGGTTTTTAGATCAGTTTTCTCAATTCTGGCCTGGGCCAGAATCGCCTGGGAAGTTTTTTAATAAAAACAAACCTGGGCCCACTCCAGGCCAATTAAGTAAAACTCCCTGAGGAATGAGGCCCAGTCATTGGTATTTTTAAGAAATTCCCAGGTGACTCTAAGTGTGCAGCCAGGCTTGTTTTACATCAAGGCTCTCAGCTCTTCCTCTTAGCTCCAGCAGGTCCACATTCCTGTTAACTCCAGAGTAGCTTCCATTTTGAAAAACCACATGCCCTTCCTTTTCTTTCCTTTTACAACACAAATAAAATTATTTGTGGTCCATTATTTTAACCTACATCTGTTCTGCCCACATTGTGTTCATTCTTGATTAATTCAGCAAACGTCATTATTGAGAACTTGCTGTGTGTAAGACAACCCTTCTGTTAGAGGCTTTTGGAGAATCTGCTCAAACACAAACCCCCCAAGAGAATGAAGTGTGTGCTAGAACATAAAAATAAAACAGGAGAGTTGTCAAGCTTTTCTGAACCCTTTCCATGCTAGTGGATGATCCCACTGTGCTTCCTGCAATCTCCCTGTGTGGTAGATATTCCTTTGACCACTACTTCCTTAGAAGAAGGGGAGGCATTTGGGGATTGGGTAACATGGTCAAGGACACCCAGGTAGCAAGAGGAGTGGATATCAACCCAGGATTTCCTCTTGTGTCTGTGCTCTCAAAATCCTCCCAAATGTAATTATTTTTTGGGATATGTTTACGCTATTTTCAAATACTGTGCCTGAGTACTTAGGCATACTAAATTCTAGGCATTATTGCAACAGACTCCAAAGATTTTTCACTTAAAAGTGGTGCATGAAAAGAGAACTTTTATGATTTGATTAAACAACAAAAATATATCTGTAAGATACACAGCTCTTGATCTTTCTTTTTTTTCTTCCTTTTTTTGGGGGGGGTAGTTTGAGATTGAACCATAGGGTACTTTACCACTGAGTTTTACCCCCAATCCATTTTATTTATTGTTTTAAATTTTGAGACAGGGTCTCACTAAGTTGCTGAGGCTAGCCTTGAACTTGAGATCTTCCTGCTTCATAGTCTCTGGAGTCATGCCCAGCAGCATTTGTTGTTTCTGAGGTCAAGTGTAATGGTTATATAGCCAGATTTCATTGGAGAGAAAATCTATAGAGTAACCAGTGAAAGTAGTTGGATTGAATCATGGGAAGTGAGAACTGGAAGAGACTTTAGGAATCAAGGCCCATGCAACACTAGACACAAGAAGAAACTAAGGTATAAAGAGAAAGAGAAGGGTCTTCCAAAATCAGACTGCTTGTTAGTGATGGAATGGGACCTTGAATTCAGACAGCATGTTTTCTTCCTAGTCAAACTTACTGCCTCCCAACTTGAGATGCAAATAGATAATGCTATAGTGAGGAAAGAACATGACAAATGAAGAAATTATTCCTCAGACTAATGTTGACTTATGACAAGGCTTTTGCTACTAAAAACATTCAAAGCATATACCATTAATTTAGGGCAGGGGGCTAAAAACCAGTAAATCTTAATTTTGCTAGATGTAATGTTTTTAGAATGACAGTTATTTTACCTTTAGTCCAAATAAATGCACTAGAAAAACCACAATCCTATGTCTCTGAAGTCTTGCATTCCTCAGCCATGAGAGAGGAGCAAGGCCCACCCTGAATGCACCCCTCACCCACCTCCACCCCCAGCTCTGGCATGACTCTGTCTTCCCTTGCTGCAACCCTGAGATGAGATACATGACTTTTCTGCAAGACCAGGTCACGGACAGGGAATAAGCTTCCCTGAAATGCCTGGGTTCATTCCATTTGAAGCCTCATGGGTTCTGCCAGACTGAACAGCTAGCTGAGGTAGGTGTAGAAGAACAGCCAGTCTCAGTGGAGAGGGCTGAAGAGGCTGACCAAATATCTTTTTAACAAAACTTTTTTTCTAGAACAGGATACTGTGGGGGTGGGCAGCCCATCTGCCTGGGGGTATTTTCACCCACTCAGTCCTCATGGCTAAGGTGGACGCCAAGCACAGCCAACCCCCAGACACAAGCAGTCCTCAGAGACTTCCAGATCCATGCTTTCTGTTTCCATGGATACTTGGATGCTGGGACAGAAGTTGGCTTGCCCAAGATCATGACTGCACCTGGCAGGAGCGTCCACTTTGGAGTGGTGAAAGTGAGCATCCTTGCACAGTTGCTCTAGCCAGCCTCTCTCCTAAGTACTGTGTCTTCATCTCTCATGGTCCCCATTATTAAGGCCTGCTGTGGGCTAAACCCTGAATCCAGGTACGATTCTCAATCACACAGAAGGGGTCACCATCCACCCCCTACCACACTTCCCTAAAAAGGCTGTGAAAAGCCATAGTTCATGTGCTGGAACAGTGCTTCTGAAATTTTAATGTACATATGACCTACCTGGAGTGTTATGTTTTGGATCTGGAATTTCCCCCAAAGTCTCATGAGGTGGGGTTTTTAGGCAATGATTGGGTCAAAGGGCTCTGACATCATCAGCTGGATTAATCCATTTGATGGATTAATTTGGTGGGAGCTAAATGGACTACTGGGAGGTGGGAGCTAGTTGGAAGGAGTAGGTTACTCGGGGCATTCTGTGAAATGGTTTATCTTCTCCCTGGCTCCCAGCACTCCCAGCTTCCTGGCTGCCATGAGCTGAGCAGTTTTCCTGTCATGTACTTCGGCCATGATGTCCTGCCCGTGGCAATGGAACTGGCCATGGAAGACTCCTCTGAAACCATGAATCAAAATAAATCTTTCCTTTTCTAAGTTGTTCTTGTCAGGTATCTGGGTATAGCGATGAAAAGTTAACTAAAGTGAAGAAGACCTGGATTCCAGCACTCTAACAGAATAAGTAGCATCTTTTCTTCTGGACCAGCTATTCTTGGGGAATCATTATGGCTTTCCCCAGTTCTAAAAGGCCATCCTGGAGAGTGGCAGGAGTACATTAAGGGATCATGCACTTGGTGGATTCATTTTGAATAAATCTTGAGCAAGAAAAGAAGTAAAATCTGTGTAACTTAGCCATGTTTTATGAGAAGCAATAAAATTATATGATCTTGCAATAAATTTTTATCAGTACTGCTTATACTCACTTACAGACCAGTGATAAAAAATTGAGGGCTTGTGAAACATGAGAGAACAGAAGACTGCCTGGGAGTGGAGGAAAGGAGGAGAGTGTATGCCAAGGATGGGATGGGGAGCTATATACTTAAGAACAATTCCATGGATGTCTGGCTACTTTTGGTTTACTTTTCTAAACCTCCATTAGAAAACAAACAAACAAACAAAAAACCAAGCTAATTCCCACCATTAGTTGGCCTATTCTCTTTGCAGTACCAGGAGACCCGGGCTCTATTCCCATCTTTCCCAGAGTCTAACTGAGCAATCTTGGACAAGTTATTTTAGCTCTCATGGCTTTGCTTTCATTTTCTTTAAAATGGGGGTAAAATTTCTATTCTTGGTAGAAATAAATGAATGAGAGTGTGGGAGTGGTCCTTGGAGGCAAGTGGTATCCTTGTTTCTATCATCTCTCCTGCCAGAAGAATGGGGGGCTGCCTACCTGAAGCCTGGACTTCCATGATGTATTGGTGTAGATCTTGGCCCTGCTGAATGACTTCAAAGGTCATATTGTTCATGGCTAGCTTTCTTTCTGTGTGGCGCTGTAGCCGCTGCTCTGCTAGGGTCAGATCCTCCGTGTTGAAGTCATTCATCTGCCGAAGCAAGTCCTCATTCCAGGCATCCAGCTCTGCTGTAACCTGTGAGGAACCACCAAGATCAGTACTGGCTTGCCAAATCCTTGAGAGGCTACTAAGCTAAAGCTCACCAATCCCAAGCCTTACTAACTAACGCAATCCTCAGATAGTCTTTGCTTCCCATCTCTTTGATCATGATCTCTTTGATCTAAGCAAGACTGCCATGCATCCGTATGCACATGCCTTCCAGTGTTCTCTGTGTGTTTCAATGTCTATCGCAACAGCAAAGGAATAGCAGGAAAAACACTTATGTTCTAATATATGGTTTATAAAGCTTTTGCATATTCATCTCATTTGATTGCCACAATGAAACAATGAGACAAGGCAGCATGGAGATTTCCAAGTCTATCTTACAGAAGAAGCAGCTGACCCTCGCTCAGACAGACATAGTAATTGTCACAGGTTTCCCTTGCCAGCAAGGGGCAAAGCTTATGAAGTAGCTTAGTTCTTCTCCTGACTGCAAAGAGGTTTTGTCCACCATCCCCAACAACTGTTGCTATAAAAATGTTTCATAATTGAAGAGGTCCTCAGAAACTAAGTAGTGAGTATTTTTCAGTAATATAAACTGAGGTCTAGAGAAATCTGACAAATGTGTCAAGGCTACAACATTATTTTAAAAACTCTACATGTCCAACTCCAGGTCCAGATCTGGTTCCTGTGTTCCATTGTGGAGGATTCTCTCCCTCAATCATAAAGAATGATATCCAGAAATAAACAACCAAAATAAATAAATAAAATTGTCCAAATCACGGTTCGTAGTCCATTCCTTGCCCATTAGCTGCAGGAAATCAGAATAAAACTAAGACAACAACCATGAAAGGAAGAGCCTGCCTCTTCTTTCAAATTTCTATGAAACTGACTCAATAAAGGGTCCTTTTGATGCAGGAAGATCCCAGAGGGGTCCTAAGGTCAGGAATTCATGAAGAGGAAAGTGTCAAAGGTCCTGGTGAGGAAAACAGAGAAAGATCGAAGTATTTAAGTCAGGAAAGTGAGGCTCAGAGGTCTGGTATCTTAGGAATATGATCTAAACTGAATGTGAAATCTGCCCAGCATTCTATATCTGGTGTTTCTATATTCTTTCTCCCTTCTCCTTAACCTCCTCCACTTTCATCAACTGACTACATTAAATTGAAGGGCCAACTCTGTTATGCAGCCTGAAGAGTGAGAATTCCAAGGGGCTGAATTTCAACAGAAAGGGCTGACTCCTAAGGTCGCTTCCCTGGGGTCTATCTACTCTTCACCCTCTCTGTGTCTGACTCTACTTCCCTATTTCTCCAAGTGCCAATAGCCAGAGCCTTCAGTGAGTTTAACTTGTATGCTTTCAATGTTTTCTGGAGTTTAAACTATTTTCTTTCTTGAGCATTTTTTTTTTCTTAAGGAGTGTTCTTTTATTGGGGTGTCTTCTCCAATTTCTTTCTGGGATACAAGGGGCTTTTTTTTTTGTGGTACTGGGGATTAAACCCAGGGCCTCACACATGCTAGGCAAATGCTTTACCAGTGAGCTATATATACCCTAGCCTTTTTTATTTTTCTAAGTTGCTGAGGCTGACCTCAAACTTAAGATCCTATTGTCTCAGCCTTATGAATAATTGGGATTATATGAGTGTGACAATGCATCTTTTTTTTAAAGAAAAAAATCGGGTTCAAAACTGCAGTTTACCTTACTGTTAATGAGCAACCCTAACTTTCCAACCTTATCTCATGCTCTCTGTTAAGATCCATTCAAACCGGTTTACTGCTGATCCTGAGCATAAGATCAGCATCCACCAGCCTCCATTCCTGTTCAATAACCCTGTCTTTCCTCCCAGTCTCTTGAAGTCTTGACCACCCTTCAAAACAGACCCTCTGGCCTGAAGGTTTCACTACATCCTTAGACTCAGATGTTTTTCCTTTGGTTTATCTCATAACGTGGGACATGAGTTAGTTTGCTCATACAGAGATAAGATTGTTAAAAGCAAAACCTACCCAACGGAATGAATTTGGAGATCTAACTCCATTTGGAGAGCAGGTGCTCAGGCAAGAAGTGAGGACCTGTATCAAATGAATGAAAGATGGAATACAAGGTTCCCAGAGGGCACTCAGTTTTCAGTTAACCTATTTTGCTTTCTCCTTCTGCTCTATTAGCTCCATCTCAGCTCTGGCCTTCTCAGTTCCTCCCTTGGCTCTAGTGGCCTCTGTCTTATTCACTCTCCTGAATTAATTGGAAAGTTAGGATCTAATGACCTCTTGAAGATATAGTTTGAACAATATTTTTAATCTAACAGTTGTCTACTCTAGAGACACAGTAATAAGGGAAATCAGATGAGGAGCTAAAAAAAAATTAGGGTAACAGGCAGTGGGAAATGACAAGTCTCACTTTAAAAAGATTAGACACACCAAATTTAGTATTCTGCTGCCAAAAATTGATCCATGGGAGTTGGTTTAGCAGTCACCTTGGGCTCTGTTCACAGGGAGTCCTCTCCACTGGCTCCACCTATTATCTGAGTCCTCCCCCATATTTATGTGTACAGAAAACTTTAGCCTCTCTTCCTCAAGTGTTTTAATCTGTACCTGCCTGAACCAGAACTCACCTTCCCCCTTTCTTCCACTTCCTGTGGTCTGCTCTCATCAACTTAGTTCTTTACTATCACCTGCAAAGTTGGAAATATCATGTAGTTTTTTTTTGATAATTTTTAGATGCTGATGATGATCATGATGAAGATGACAAAATGACAAAATCATTTTTCTCTAAATTGTGCATTTATTATGGGATGAATAGTGGGTTAAGCCATTCAACTGACTTTATTTTAATCCCCAGAGCAGCTCTAGAAGGAAATGGAAGTACATAGCAGCCAGGTAGCTTTCCTCATAGTCTTAGAGCTGCTGGTGGCAGAGCTGAGCATCAGCTACTAGTCCAATGCTCCTAACCATGGTGTGACATTAATAAGGCTTCCGTAAGAATTGATTTCCAGGGGACAGCCTTCTTTTTTATGCTCACATAAGAGAAGTAACAGTTTTACTCTTCATGTTTTTTTTTCTTTAAAAAGACCCATGATAACTCAATTTTCTTCGCTTCATATGCACCTTTTAAACATATACTCTTTGTACAGAGCAATAAATCAACTATATGCCTGAGCCCTTATATAAATTCCAGGCATAATTTATACTTTCAAGGAAACACACTGTCTTCCATCAATAGGGTATTTTTGTTTAAGGGTTTGGTAAATTTTTAAACTGATTCTACCAAACTGCTTAGTATAAGGTAAGCAATCTTACCTATCTCAAATTCTCTGGTTCCCCAAGGGCCTTTGTCATGAACGCGAGACACATCTGCAATTGGAATTGGGATGTGAACAGAGGGATTAAAGCTGAAGTAGAGAAGTATGTACTACTCCCTGCATGAGCAGATTCTCTGCATGGCAAGAGAAACCACCTACTCTATATGAATATCTAGGACTCTCCTGATACGACTCAGCAATGAATTAGGAGATGAACAATGGGACACGTAGATGTTTAGTTGCTTAAAATCCAGAAGCAGGTACATATGCTCATAAATACACACATATGTATATATTTACTTATATATAAAATACATTTGCTATTATCAAACTCATGTGTATGTAAATGTATATGAAATGAAAATGTATTGTGAATAACAAAAGTAATAACACTGACCACAGTACTGAGTGCTGCTTAAATGCCAGGGGCTTTGCCAGAAACATTACATGTGTTAATTCATTAAATCCTTACAACAACCCTATGGACTAGAAAATATTGTCATCCTAAGTTTTCAGACAAGGAAACAAAGAGTTTAAGTAGCCTGCCTGTAGTTATAAAATGAGTAATGTTAGTGAAACAGTTTTAAGAGCAACACTACATGTTTTGCATTTATTAAGGTCCAATTACCTTTCCAATAACATTGAAGAGGAAAGATCTGTGGCATTTCATTGTGAGGGGATTCTACCAAAATGCCTGGGTTGCTGATTACAAAATGAGTATTTTTCTGTTTTATGCCATTATTTTCATTAAGATAAGGAAAATGTAAGCTAAATATTCTCTACTGGCTTATAAGTTCTGGCTGATAGGGCAAGACATATTGTAGCTGAAGAGGCTGTCTCACTGATTGGAAAGAGCTTCTTTACCCATAATGGGTCTGTGTGTTGATACAAATCACCAGTATGAAACTGAAATTAACTAAACCGCCATAGTCGTTTACTTTACATGACCAGTGTAATGTTAGATTCTTTTGTGTTAAGCCATTTATCAAATGATGAGGTACTAGAGTTTTAAAAACAGATTATTTTAAAAACAGATTATTTTAAAGGTATCATAGCATTTCTCTCTGTTCCAGAAACATATATAATCTGTCTGAAGAATTAAAAGTTTAATCGAAATAGCTTAACACCTTTGGAGATATTGCAATAATTTTCTAAAAAAGTAAAGGGACTTGGCAGAAAAGAAATCCTTTCCATCTTGGCAAAATAATATAAGAATACATTATAAAATGTTGTAATTGATGGGTTCCAATGTTCCTGTACCAGTTGGAGCACTTGGACAACTGGACAATTTTAATGGCCACGTGCATGTTCTTTTCTTCCTCATCATTATATTGAAACTGAGGTCTTTGACAGAGTCATAATTTGTTGATTAAAAGGGTTGAAGGGATAGGGCCGGGATTGTGGCTCAGAGGTAGAACACTCGCCAGCATGTGTGAGGCACTGGGTTCAATCCTCAGCACTGCATAAAAATAAAATAAAGACAATGTGTCTACCTATACCTATACTACAAGGGTTGAAGGGGGTGCTGGAGTTGGGGCTCAGTGGTAGAGCGCTTGCCTATCGCATGTGAGGCACTGGGTTCAATCCTCAGCACCACATAAAATAAGTAAATAAAATAAAGTTATATAAGTATATGTGTGTGTGTGTGTATAGTTATATATATATATATATATATGTAATTTATGTTTATATATGTACATATATATGAATTGAAGGGGATCCTGAGAAAGATTTTATTTATCTCTT